ACCCTATCAGAGCTGTTTGAGAGCCCTACCGCCAAGGCAGAACTCGTCTACTCACGTATCACTTTTCGCGAACTCATGGTCATGAATCTTTATATCTTTGCTTGCACTGCATATCCACCGACTGCTTCCCTTGACTCGACGCAGTATTTTTTGAATAATTCCATCTTGCATCGCTTGCATTGAGTCTGCGCCTCTACAAATCTGACGCGTCTTCGCAGTTAGGCTCAGAAACGAGTCTTCAGCTGAAATTATGGCACGGGTGTTGCGATAAAATTCCAAACTTTTTACGCTCCCTGCACCTTGAAAGTACGGCCGCTCGCCGTCTTCCGCTCCTTCTCTTCGCTGTCTGGGCGTGCACGGCGCAGAACTATACAGAATTAGCTTCAGGATTGATTACGGATCTTTTGGTAACGACTCACCTTGGAGGAAGTCTGCTGTCCTCTTGCGCATACGCGAGTGGATGTAGGCCTTGGACGCCTTGATGTGGTAGTGGAAGTAGTCGCGGAAAGTCTGGATGTGAGAAATGACGTCGGGCATTCTCTGAGGAGTGAGGTGACGAGGGAAAAGAACTAAATCTGTTAGCATGAGAGGTTTCTCCCCACCGCTGCCACTTACCAAAGGTAACATATCCAATCTCGCCGGTGCCGGTATCCCTAACGCCAGGAACTCCCTGCAGCTCCAGGGGAGGATCGTTCCTGAAGAGTACTTGAGGAGCGTTCTGGATGGCTCTCCGTCTGGCGTCGACGAACTCCTGGATGAAGATCTTGCCAAATACGCGATCGGTCTCCTCGCGGAATATCGTGCTGAAGATAACGGTAACACGGTCGTGGCTGGCCTTGACGTAAATGGCCTCCTCCTCGCGGTAGTGGATAGCCATAACTTCACCGCCCTCCCGAACGCCTTGGGGAGCCTCCTCAGATGTGTACTTGGATGCCTCCTCCTTCAACTTGTAGTGCTCTTCGTAGGCGGCCTCGAACGGCGCGGCCATAGCGTTGCGCTTGAGCAAGGCCATCTTCATGATCAACGCATCTCGCTCCTCTGCACTTTCAATCAGCCAACTAAACTTCTCCCACATCGGTTTTACTGACCCTTCTCTTCCGGCAGACTCTCGAGATCAATCAAGACCGAGAAATCGTAGCCGGGCTCGGGCGGAACGACGTATTGGCCATATTCCCTCTGCAGCACCTGCTCGGCGCCGTACTTCACCAGGTCCTTGTAGCATCTTATTTGAATAGAAAGCTGAATCTTTGTCTTCGTCTCGGGAGTGGAAATATGGTAGATGACGCCGTCGAAATCAGAGACGGTCTGGTCGATGTGAGCGGGAGGGGCACTGCCTTGGAGGTTAGCAGCTATTGCGGTGAAGCTCGTGAAACCATGCTCTCGTACCCAGAGAACCTCTCAGTCAACACCGACTGGATGAGAACGTTTTGGTAGTCTAGGAGAAGCATCTTGTCGACGGCCAATTGCCAGCTTGTCTCCCAAGTTGTGGTTGTGTCGTTGGGAAGCTGATGATACCTCAAGTGGGGTGTGACGTTCGAGCACAGTCGGAGCTAAGGTGGCTGTGATGCTCCAGGAGAAGGTCCGTACGTAATGCCCGTTATGCAGGCAGCATATCGTTATATCAGGTATTGTTCCATAAAAGAGTCGGTTGCCCCATATCCTTATCGCATCGCGATAACACTTGAAGACTCCAAATTTTAAGAATTTCGAGGTTCGAGGGACGTGCCTCTATCGCAAAAGCCTTTGAAGAGCCTGGTGGCGCCAAAAAATCCGCAACAATGGTGAAGTCATATCTGTAAGTCAATCGCAAACTTTTTCGGTGGAATATTGACTGACAGGTCTATCATCATAGAAAGTATGAGCACAGCAAGTCTTTCGGCATTGTCGCATCCAACACCTCGAACCTCGTCTGGAACGCCCAAGGTCGAGCTGGCGCCGGCCAGGCAGTCGTAGCCGCGAATGAGGAGGTTTTGTGCTGGGACATCAAGAAGGGAGAGCTCGTGAGCCGATGGAGGGACGATAGAAACACCGTACCGGTCACTGCGATCGCCCAAAGCAAAGTCGACAAGGACGTTTTCGCCGTCGGATACGAAGATGGCAGCATTCGGCTGTGGGATAGCAAAATCGCGACAGTGATTGTCAACTTCAATGGTCACAAGTCTGCGATCACGACGCTGGCATTCGACAAGTCGGGTGTGCGATTAGCCTCCGGTTCCAAGGATACCGACGTGATCATATGGGATCTCGTGGCTGAGGTTGGCCAGTTCAAGCTCAGGGGACACAAGGACCAGATTACAGGGCTGCAGTTTGTCGAGCCGGAAGCGCAGGTCGAAGATGAGGACAACACCCAGGCTATGGTGCTAGACAGCGACCCGTCAGCCGAGGGCTACCTCCTCACGACCGGCAAGGACTCGCTGATCAAGCTTTGGGACCTGTCTTCGCGACACTGCATCGAAACCCATATTGCGCAAACGAATGGGGAGTGCTGGGCTCTGGGCCTTTCCCCCGACTACAGCGGATGCATCACAGCTGGAAACGACGGAGAGCTGAAGGTGTGGTTCTTGGACACAGCAGGCCTTGCTTCTCTAAAGGGGCAGGTCGACGCGCCGCAATCTGCGAAATTCTTGCACGAAAGGGGAACGCTGTTCCGTCAACACAAGGACAAGGCCATCGAAATTGTCTTCCACCCGCGTCGGGATTACTTTGCCGTTCATGGTACAGAAAAGGCTGTTGAAGTTTGGCGCATAAGGTCGGAGGCAGAGGTCAAGAAGTCGTTGGCGAGAAAGAAGAAGAGGAGACGTGAGAAGGCTGCGAAGGAGGGAAAGACCGAGGAGGATGCCGAGAACGACGACCAGGCGGACGATCTGTCGAGCGCCGAAGCCAGCGAATTCTTCGTCCAGTATGTGATAGTCCGGACGGGCGGCAAGGTGCGGTCGGTGGACTGGGCCGTCACGAGCGGCAGCAAAGAGATCAACCTGCTGGCTGGTACTACCAACAACCAGCTCGAGTACTACAGCATACCAACAAAAGACGCCTCCAAATCGAAGAAGGACGAGCTGCCTGACTACACGAGATCTCTGGCGGTCGATCTCCCGGGACATAGGACAGATATCCGCGCGGTATCGCTTAGTTCCGACGACAAAATGCTGGCGACGGCTGCCAACGGTGGTCTGAAAATCTGGAACATCAAGACGCAGACTTGTATTCGAACATTTGAGTGCGGCTATGCCTTGTGCTGCGCATTCTTGCCTGGTGACAAGGTCGTGGTTGTTGGCACCAAGACTGGAGAACTTGAGCTCTTTGACGTCGCTTCCGCAAGCCTGTTGGACAGCGTCACCGCACACGAGGGAGCTATCTGGTCGTTACAAGTGCATCCGGATGGTAAGTCTGTAGTGTCTGGTAGCGCCGACAAGTCTGCCAAGTTCTGGGACTTCCGAATCATTCAAGAAGAAGTCCTGGGCACCACACGTACCGTACCGAAGCTGAAGCTTGTACAATCGAGGACACTTAAAGTTGCGGACGACATCCTCTGCGTGCGCTACTCCCCCGACGGAAAGTACATTGCCGTCTCCCTTCTCGACAACACTGTCAAGGTGTTCTTCACCGATAGCCTGAAGCTCTACCTCAATCTTTACGGCCACAAACTCCCGGTCCTCAGCATGGATATCTCCTACGACAGCAAGCTCATTGTCACCAGCTCCGCCGACAAGAACATCAGGATATGGGGTCTTGACTTTGGTGACTGCCACAAGGCCCTCTTTGGTCACCAAGACAGTATCCTGCAGGTTGCCTTCGTCCCGCACAACTCGGACGGCAATGGCCACCACTTCTTCAGCAGCAGCAAGGATCGTTGCATCAAGTACTGGGACGGCGACAAATTCGAGCAGATCCAGCGCCTGGACGGCCATCACGGCGAGGTCTGGGCCATGGCCGTAGGCCACAGTGGCCAGTTCCTCGTCACCGCCGGTCACGACAAGTCTATCCGCGTCTGGGATGAGACGGACGAGCAAATTTTCCTCGAGGAAGAGCGCGAGAAGGAGATTGAAGAGCTCTACGAAAAGACGCTCACCACCTCCCTCGAGCGCGACCCAGACGCCGAGGACCAAGACGGCGAAGTCGGTGCCGCCACCAAGCAGACCGTCGAGACCCTCATGGCCGGTGAGCGCATCGCCGAGGCCCTCGAGATCGGTATCGCGGACTTGAACCTGCTCAAGGAGTACGAGGACGCCAAGAAGACGAACCCGCACGCCCCTCCCCCGCAGCGCAACCCCATCTTCATCGCCCTCGGCAACATCACCGCCGAGGCATACGTCATGAGCGTGCTGAACCGCATCAAGGCATCTGCCCTCCATGATGCGCTGCTCGTCCTCCCCTTCTCGACCGTGCCGATGCTCTTCACCTTCCTCAACATTTTTGCCCAGCGCTCCATGAACATCCCGCTGACGTGCCGCATCCTCTTCTTCATGCTCAAGATGCACCACCGCCAGATCGTGGCCAGCCGCACCATGCGCACGATGCTCGACGGCATCCGCGCCAACCTGCGCGCCGCGCTGAAGCGCCAAAAGGATGAGATGGGTTTCAACATTGCCGCGCTCAAGGTTGTCGGCATGCAGATCCAGGAGAAGAGCGTCAAGGACTACGTCGACGAGAACTGGGACGATGGCGACGAAAGCCGGTCCATTAAGAAAAGGGCGTTTGTGCAGGTTTCGTAATCGGTAGCAAAGGGTATAAACTGGAGCCCAAAACAAAAAGCGGCGAGAGGTTGGATGGTGTTGATATAATCATGAGATTCCCTGTTTTCTATCGGCTCCCCTTAGATATTTGCATCGCCAGGTGGTGGGCAGCATTGTACCGGTCTTGTTAAAAAAGTGTCTTCGTATGTTATTCGCTAAACCTTCTTTTGATGCTTGCGGCTTTGTAACCTTCACCCGTATCGATACACAGACTCTTGACGTAGAATCTCCAATATGTACACAGCCATTGCTAGCTAACCACCCTATCTACTGGCTCTTCGCCTTGGATTTTGTGCTACCCCTCGTCAAAATGTCGCTCTGCGCTACCAACTGGCCCAGACACCAAAGATAGCAGATGCCGAAGCCCACCGCACCCAAGCCGACATTTGCAACAACCCAAAGGTCGGGCTTGTCGATAGGCGGCGGGACTGTAGCTTCCACCACATGCCAAGCAGCCATGACAATGTAGAAACCACCGTGCAGAAGGAAAGTGGCCCATTTTCGCAAGGCGGAGTGGTCCTCCTGGAAGTAGGCGCTCAACGATGTTGGAGGCAGTCCGAGGAGGAAGGCCCAAAGCAAAGTAAGGACTGCATAAGGGACGCTGAGGTCCACCCGCTTAAGGAGGGGGAACATTGTCCAAACGCCCAGGATGTTGGCGAATCCAACCCACGCCCTCACATCGCGCGAAAGTCCCTGCTTGCCGGCCAAGAGGAGGGTCATGGGCATCAGGGGAAGCAGAACGCTCTTCTCGTGAACCTGGAAGCTGAAAAGGAAGAAGCCCCACGCCGTTGTCGCAAAAGCCAGAGGCAAAAGCGACTTGCGCGGGCGAAAGAAGAGGACCAGGTTCGGCGGGATGATGGATGCGGTGGTCAACAGAAGAGCACCGCGCTGAAGAAGCTCGGAGGGGTACTTTCGGAGCTTGACGACAACGTTGAGAGCGCACCAGAAGTTGGCGACCTTGTCTTCAAAGAGGCCGCGCGCAAAAGGGAAAATGCGGTGGACCATCTGCACAAGCTGCTCGACAACCGGGTAGTAGACGGCGTTCGTGTCCAGAATGTCGGTCAGCCAGGGAAACAAAGGAAGGGTAGGAGGCGGTCCGTCGTAGTCGGGTCGCGCATCAATACCTCGGCGCGCATCGTAGAGTGTGCCCAGGACCAGAGGCGCAATCAGAATGGCAAAGGCCGCAACAGTCACCAGCGCAATGCCAATGAAGCGACCCGGCTTCAGAGGGAAGACACAGCTTCCCAGGAGGAAAGAGAAGACGGAGAAAGCATAGTAGAGAGCCATCTGCTTAAAGCCGAGCGCCGCGACAAAGAAGACTGCTGACCAGAGATAGCGGCCAGCCAGCATACTCGACATGCTTGCGAGAACGAAGCCGAGCATGACGGTGTTGTATTGAAAGTGAACATGGTCAATGAGTATGGTGCCTGGCTGCAACAAGATTGCGACTAGGGCCATCCACGCAGTCCACGTAGGCACGCCACTGTGTCTGGAGAAGCGACGGACGAAGATGACAGCGGCGGGAATGTAGATGAGATATTCGGAGACGATGACGGTGGCGCGCATGAAGATCTTGAGCGTCGGGTCGTCCGATCCACGCGAGTTGTACAGCTCGAACCAGGAGGGATCGATGAGGGCGCCAACTTTGCCGCAGAGCCAGCTGTGGTATGCCGTCAGGGGCGGGTAGTCGAGACCCCACCATTGGAGGTCATGAAAGTACCACTGCGAAACGGGAATTTGCGTCGTGATCTCCATCCAGTGTCTTTGCGCTTCGTAGTCTCCGAACATGGGCGGCTTCTGGAAGCCTGCGAGAAGCAGAGTTGTCAGCAGTTGCCGCGAAAGTCGAGGGGACCGATCACGGCGCACTTACCAGAGTATCCCCAGAGGCCAGCGGCCCATCTGAAAAGGCCAACGACCATGAGAATCAAGGGCAGGACCTCCCATTGTGACACGGAGCCTCGAGCAGGCCACAGGAATGAGGCCAATGGGAAGACGGGGACCTTGACCAGAGCTTCCTTCTTAGAGAGCTGGTTGTCGACCGCAGGACTCAAGCTGCTTCCTCCGCCGTTTCCGTTGCCCTTCTTTCCTGCCCTGCGCCGAGGCTTATGGGGCGATGGACTGCTCATGATTGCAGCTCAGTCTGAAATTTCTAGTCGATTCGTGTGGTGCGGCATCAGCTGCCGTGGGTGGTGGTAGAGTTCGCCGGGAGCTGTTGACTTGGCTGTTGAACTCCAGGTGACAGTCCCGAGTTGAAATCCAAGGGTCCACGTCGCGTTAACGACAGCTCACTGCAGTGTGGTGTGGTGTGTGGTGCTGGCCATTGGAGCTGCACCAAGCTGAAAGGTCCCCACATCCCGGGCCGCTAAGGAAAGCACAGAGCCGGGTACCTACCCAGCACCTTTATTATCTGCCACCTGCCGCATGTTGTTCTTAGACCCAAAAGAAGCCTCTTGTTTAAAATCTAACTTAGTTGATGGGGCTCTCATTCGCCTGATGCCTAGGATGTAGACCCCACAACTAGCTGATGCTTTTCAAGGCGGAATTATCTTTTTTCCCCATTGTCGGTCGAAGGTCCAGACACCTGAACTCCTCGAAGCTTTCTTCCTTGGGCAGCTGAGGCAACACTGCCATTGCGCAAGTCCTTAGAGTTTCAGTCTTGTTCATCCCACCGGCATTCATAGTCGAAGACAGCCTTGAAGATTCAGTCAATTGTTGTCGGATTAGCTGTCGGTGGTACAGTTTGCTTCACCAGGGGCGAGCGAGTAACCTAAAGTCGATGCTTTCCCCTGTTGATGGCTGTCGGCCACGTGACTTTGTCTGGGGTTGACACGACTAGCCCCAATTGGCTGATCCGGGACGGCCAACGTCACAGGCGGGTGCAGTCAGGTCTCGGGCACTGACTGGCAACTTCAATGCTCGTAACTTCAGGTAGCTCAATGATCAACGGCGAATCGTGCCCCTCTCATCGAATCTGACCTCCTGCCCTCTACCTCTTGCCGAATCAACGCCGACTCTTCAGTTATGCCTTTTCCTTTTGTTCTCCCTACCACGTCGGCTTTCTCATTCTCCTCGAGCTTCACCAGCGATACCCATCCCTCATTGCCCCTCAGCGCTAGTACGTATCGCGGGGTTGTGAGAGATGCTCTGAAGAAACACAAGCGCCTCCCACCTCCTTCGCAGTCATCCCACATATCCACCGTTATCGGGGCCCTCAATGGCTACGTTCCGTACATATTAGCCGTCGATGCCGGCCTCAATCCGAACGCTCACTTTGGAGAAAGCATCAGCCTGAAGGCTACCTCACCACCCACGATCGAATGGCGTCCGACACTCTCGGACAATGCAGTCCCCGGGAGAGAACGCTCCAGGGTAAAGGTTCAGTCTGTGGACTATGAGATTGCTTTCACCTTGTCAAGCTTGGCCAACGCATACACCTTGGTTGCTCGGGCTGCCCTTCACCCGCTATTTGTGACGACACAGGCCACCTTGGATCCCCAGCAGAGAACAGCTGCAATCCAAACGGCAACTAAGTATCTCCTGGATGCCGCATCGATATACGACTGGTTGGCCATCAGGGCAGAGAGAGTGCAAACGGCGCCACCTTGCAGCGATGTTTCGCCGTCAACCCTCCGCGCAATGTCCTCGCTCGCGCTCGCCGAAGCAACACTCCTCGCAGTCTTGAAAGACGACCCTTACCCAGCCATTGTTTCTCAGGACCGCAACAAGAATGACCGCGAGTGGATGTACAAAGCTCCTGATATTCCCAAGGTCCGCGCCCACCTCTTCGCCCGCCTGTGCCTTGCCGCCGCAGAGCACGCTGCCCAGGCATCCTCCCTTTGCCAAGCCGCAGGCCGAGGATCCAGCAAGATCAACGAGGGTCTCCTGCGATATCTCGAAGATCTTCGGCGGACTTGCCGTGCCAAAGCATGTCGGTTCTTTGGTATTGATGCTGAGATCGGCGGCGAGGTTGGGAAGGCCATCGCCTGGCTACAGGCCGGCCTGCAGGAGCTTGGTATCGAGTCCAAGTACTCAGCTAAAGGATCCGGCTTCAGTCGCTTCAAGAAGGAATGGACCGAGAAGCGCGAGGAGCGGAAAGTGGAGAAGGAAACAGCCTGGGGGGCGGACGGCGGTAAGGTCGAGGAAACGAGAGTGGTTGAGTTCCTTGAGGTCAAGTGGCAGAAGCTTAACGATACGGTCAGTTGTCCTCTTTTGCGTCGCTTGCTCAAAATATCCTAATATGCTGCTTTTAGATGAACGTCCAGATCATTCCGCCGGTCGGGCCCTTGCTGGCTCAGATGCCGTCTGGCCGAGAGATTCATGCCCTCAAGCCATACCAGCCCCCAACGCTGGACCCAAGTATCCTGGACGCCATGCGCGCACCACCAGAGAGGAAAGACGACTATGGAGATGCTTTGAGCTCGGACGATGAGGCAAAAGGTCACGCAGGTCCTCCAGGGGCTTTTCCTGAGTCAAGACCAGATTACAGAAGCGCGAGCACCTCGTCCTACTACTAGATACACTAGGTGCGTGTGTTCGGTTGTTTTAGGACTGTTAGAGAAGATCACGGCGATGGCACATATCTGGAAGGTTTTAATGAAAATACAACCTTGCTTTTCGGTTTCGTTCACCTCCTTCTAAGAATCCAAACATTCTAGACATGGCTGCCAACATCTTCTCTTCGGACGGGGATGTCCCGGGGCACCTCCGTCATCCGATTCAACCTTTGCACACGAACGGTTTCCTTTCTGAGCATTGAACGTGCAGAACTTTGGCAGCCTCCTGTTCGCCGTGCTCGGATGAAACCCGGCGTTCTCCGCACCGACCGCCCGGATGATCAACATCCTGAACAAGTCTGTACCTGTCACGGAGACCAGTGCCTTGGACTGCAAAGACCGGGGCGGCCCGTTACAGTGTCGGAAGGCGGATGAAGACATAAAGAAGAGAGGGGAAGAAGGACGATCTGGGAGCTTGGGCCTACATGTCAGGGGCAATGCCAAAGTGACTTTTTGCACCACCAACACATCAAGCTTCAGATGACGCCCTAGGGGCAGAGCTTAAAACATGTGAGCTCTCAACTCCTTGTTCTTATTCGACCTCGGATTTTCTCCCCGAAGGTTCCCGCATAGTAATCGGGCATCGATGGAACGGGGTGAGGAGAGGGGAGATTTTCTCCTCCACGTACTACGCGGCCTTCATCAGGTCGTCATATTGCTGCCGCCCTTCCTCGTGGTGTTGCAATTTTCGATTCCTCCGCCTCTTTGCTCACCATAGCACAGGTTTCCCCGCCTTCCCTGTCGTGAAAAAGGGGACCGGTCCGATGCGGAGGCTATCAATTATCCAGCCCGGTCGGGAGGACTACGTTCACCGACGCAAGGTTTCTTTCTCGCCGACCATGCTTAGCGCGGTAACATCCCCCGTCACCAGCACCATCACGACATCCAGCAGCACATCCTCCGCCTCGACCACGAAAAGCAATAACCCAAACGATATAAGACACAGTGTCCTTGTCAATGGCCTGCCTCCGCCGTCTCCGTCGCTCCCCCTCCCGTTCAATCTCACGGATAGAGGTCTTCTCAATCGCGACTGTCATGTCCACAACGAGTGGATCGAGTCCCGGAGCAAGAAGCGTTTCGCGATTATAGACCCGGGGACAGGTCGCGTATGGGCTACATGTCCCGACTGCACCAAGGACGATGTCGGCCCAACCGTTAGATCCGCCTTCTCCGGGTTCCAAGGGTTCTCAGCCGATACTTCGAACCACGAACGAGCTCGTCTTCTGACGGCTTGGCATCATCTCATCGTCGCCGCCCGCCTCGATCTCGCCACGATTCTCGTCCACGAAACAGGGAAGCCGCTGGCGGAGGCATTGGCCGAAGTTGACTACGGCGCAGGCTTGGTCAGGTGGTTTGCCGGTGAGGCCGACCGCTTTCCGCAAGCTGTTCTTCCAACCTTTCCGACTTCGCCTATATCCCCTCGAACCCCTTGCACCCCCTCTACGCCGGCTACAATTGGCGGTACCCCGACATCAAGCGGATTCAGAATGAGACGGCCTGCGGTTCTTAAGCAACCTGTTGGTGTCGTTCTCGCACTCGTGCCTTGGAGCTTCCCGCTTGCGCTTGCTCTCCGCAAGTCCGCAGCCGCGCTCGCGGCGGGATGTACTGTCATTATCAAGCCTTCATCTGAAACGCCTCTCACCGCCCTCGCGATAGCATGTCTAGCAAACCGGGCGGGATTTCCTGCCGGCGCTCTCAACGTGATTACGACCAGCTTGGGAAACACACCAGATGTCGCCGAAGCGCTATGTATGCACCCTCTGGTCAAAGCAGTCAGTTTCACAGGCAGCGCGCGTGTCGGCAAGCGAGTTGCCACGACATGCACCCGAAATTTGAAGCGTCTGTCGCTCGATCTGGGCGGAAACTGTCCCTTTGTCGTTTTCGATGACGCAGACCTGGAGAATACCGCCAAGGAACTGGTGGCACTGAAGTGGCGGCATGCAGGACAGGCATGCATTGCGCCGAACCGATGTTATGTTCAGAGGCGCGTCTATGATTCCTTTTCGGAACTGGTGGTTCAAGAGGCGGAGAAGTTGAAAATAGGTCATGGGATGGAGCGGGAGACGACCTTGGGGCCACTGACGACGATCCGTGGTCTGTACAAGGCAGAAGCGTTGTGCAAGGACGCCGAGGAAAAGGGGGCTTCCGTACTTCTGGGCACTGGACGGAGAGAGCCTGGGGATGGATACTTCATGTCACCGACCATTTTGGGAAATATGACGGATTCAATGCTCATGTGTCGTGAGGAGATTTTTGCACCGATTCTCGGGCTTTACATATTCGACACTGAGGACGAGGTTGTGAAGAAGGCAAATGACACGCCTGTCGGGCTTGCAGGTTATGTCTTTACGAAGAGCTCTGACCGGCTAACTAGCATGTTTGAACGACTGGACGCGGGGGTTCTCGGAATGGTGAGTTTGTTGCATGTTTGGCTCGAGTCAGCAGCGAACAAGAACTGACTGACATGATCAGAACACTGTCTCTCTCGTGGCGGATTGCCCCGTGCCTGCGGGCAACAACGGGAACGGATACGGATCTGGCTTCAGTTCGGCTACGACGTTGGAAGAGTTTCTTATTACCAAATCAGGCGCAATGATGATACGTCAGGATTGACACGACTACTATACAAGTTCTTGGGTATTTTACTGAGAAGAGGAGAAACGGAACAAGAGCGTCAAGGAGGCGATGATACTTCCTATGTGCTGATCATGGCAGCTATACAGCTGGAGATTTTGGTAGATCGAAGATGAAGACAAGCATGACGACCAACACCACCAAGGCGGGGCCGTCTTGCAAGAGTCAACTAGCAATACCGACTGGGTTCTCCTCTAAAGCGTCTTCCTCCTCGGTGTACCAGCTTTCAGGTCCATCCCCCAACTCCCCGGCCTGCAACTCCTCAACCCAGCGCGACCCGGCCTCCAACTCCGCAGCCTCCATGTCGTCCAGCACCCGCGTCCTCTCCGCGAAAACGAGCGTCACCCAGCGCGACTCGGCAGCCTGCCTCCTGACGTTCTGCTTCTTGCTCTCCGCCAGACTTTCCTCATGCCTCTGCTTGATACTATACATGACCTCCTCACGCATGGTCCGCTCCTCTTCGACCTTGAGTTGATACCGATTGAATTCGTCATTGCGCCACTTGGTCCAAGCCCGCCATCCTTTATCCATCTTCTTGCGCAAGTCATGCATCAGTTCCTTGATGCGCTCTTCGCTCGACGGCTGACCTGCGTAAAAGTTCTCCAAGTCCCGCAGGTAGATCTCCTCCGTCGTCTTCTCCTCTAGCACGCGGCAGTTGTACTCGCTGGCGAGAGCCTGTTCTTTAACAGCAAGCTTTTGCGTGGCGACTTCAGCGAGAGTGGCGAGTTCCGCTCGCTGCTTCTCCACGAGCTCATCCGTAGCTGTAGACGCCTCGTGGGCAGATATCTGCAGCTCCTTGTCATGCTGGTACCTCACCATCACCTCCTGAACATCGTGCAGCCCGTCGAGCATCTCTCGCAGCTCCTGATACTTGGTCTCGATTTCATGTCTGCGCAGGCTCTCCAAACGCACCCTCTCCTCGAGCTCACGCTGCCTGCGTTCCTCCTCGCGTCTCTCCATCTCCTGCCTTAGCAGTTCCGCCTTCAACGCCTCCTCCCGCTCAAACTCCTCAATTTGTCGCAGAGCATCGCGAAGCTCGGCGTCGGCCTCGGCCTCGCGTTCTATCCTCCGCGCTCTCCTCGTCGCCGCGCCAGCCTTGACCTCGTTCAGCTGGTCCATGGTGCATGCGCAGCCCCTCCACTTTACGCCGCAAACATAGCAAAACTGATGTCCGCAGCGGCAGGTCATGTGCTGGCACGCCTCACGATGCTCGACAAGGGCCTGGCACTTGGCGCAATGCTGCCAACCCTCCTCCTCGGCCAATGCATTCGTCAGCGCCATGTCGCGGTCCTGTGGGCAGTCCGAGTTCTCGTGCTGCGGACCGCGGCAGATGGTGCAAGTCCAGTGGCCGTTGGAGCACCTAGCGATACGAAGGCCGTTGTTGACGTGGTCCGGCTTAATCCAGAGGCTGCACTCGGGCTGGTTGCAGTATATGCGGTCGCTGACGGGTATCTTCCACTCGGCGGAGCGGTCCTTGTATGTTTTTCCCAGGTCTTTGGAGACGTAGCGGTGGACTGTCCGGAAGGGGATCTCGTTGAGGCAGCATTTGGGAGGCCACTGTTGCTCGCTCTGTACGGCGGCTGCGATAAGGCGCTCGAAACAGTCACGGCAGTAGCTGTGGCAGGTAACTTTTATCACATCCTTGGGGTCGAAGTCATCTAGACATGAAACGCACTCGCTGGTGGCTGTTGTTAGTCCCAAGGCTGATAGGGGAGCTATAGACTTGACTTACACGACAGGGTTTTTTTTGGTCTTGTTCTCGTCAGAAGACCCGAGGCTATTACTGCTCGAGTTTCCTGCAAACTTGAATGGGTTCCTCGTCGAAAGTGGTGCCTCCTTTTCAGTAATCTTTTGTAGCATCCTTGTGAGGGTGAACCGGCTCCTCTTCTTGGGCTTGATTGGGAAGACAATCAACCCGCCACCTGAGCTGCCCTCGCCATTCCCGGGGAGATCGGGGAGCAGCTTGAGTTGTCTGTCACTTTCGTCGACCTCTTCCTTTGAAGGCTCTGGTTCGTCTGGTACCATAATGATGGGAAGGTATGGCTCTTTTTTCTTATCTTCCTTAGCCGCCTCTTCCTCTTCGAGTCTGCTTGTCTCTTCTAGCTGTCGCCTGCGGTTATTCTCGACAATTCTAGCTTCGACATTTTCTATGGAGGTCTGTAAGACTTCAAGCAGGATTCCGTCGGTGATATTTGGGGCTGTTTTGAGGGCGGCTGGGGGTTTGTACTTTTCCAAATCGGCATCATCCACTTCATCGTATGAATCGATGATTGCCAGTTCGGATTCAGAGTTCGTAGTAGGAACAGGAGGCAGTGCCTTTTCTTTCCCTTTCGCTGCATTGACTGGCTTTCTCTTGACCTCGTAGTCTTGAAGAGTTAGAAACGGGTCGCCGTAAAACCCGGCGTATCCCTCGAGCCGGGCAGGCATAGACGTAGCCGCATCCATCTCGACAACGGTTTCTGTGGCGGTGGACATGGGAAAGTTTCGAGACAGGATGCGAATCCTATATTTTTTTTTTTTTTTTTTGAAATATGGCGATCAAATTCAAAATGAGCAAAAGTCAGTCCACAACGGTGTCCATAGACGGCATCCCGCGTGGGCACAATCAGGCATCGCCATATATAAAGCAAGCCACAAAGTGAGTAAACGCAGAACTCACTGCTCGGCACCAGCGAATGGGCAATCACAAGACCCGTCCACCAGGCAAGCCGACAGCGGCTCTCCCGAAGGAGCCTCATGACAATGACAAGGCAGTCTACATCTTGTCCAGGGCGGAATCAGCCCCGGCTGGTAGCGGGCGATAGGAATTCGGTCCATAGAACATGGCTCGGCCCAAAAACAGCATTAGTGTTGGTGTGTAACGAGGGGTAAACTACTGATATGCTCGCACCAATCGCCGAGGCAGACTGCATCACGATGGGCGCGAGCTGAGCATGTTGGTGGTGGGGGGAAGGATGAGAACAGCAGCCCGCTTGTGGAACGCTGTTGGAGGTCGGGCAATGGGCAATGTTTGGGGGCGGTGTTCGGGCGTTAGCGCCGGCTGTGCATCGCTTGTTGCTGGCTTGGTCACCGAATGGAGCGCTCTCGGCAGATGTCACAGTCCTAGGCTAAAACAGCGTCTCCCAGATCTTCTATTTGACAATGAAAGGATACAGCCCAGGTGGATGTTTACGGCGCATATGTAAGTTCAAATACTGATGCTGTTTGGGCCTCAGGGTTGTGCCAACCGTGAGCTGACGGAGTGACTGAAGCTACAGCGCCACTTTGCACGCTCATTCACCAAGGCCACTTCAACCAACAACGCACCAAAAACACCATCGAAACCAATTGGAAAACGAATTATAAGATCAAAAGAGTCAGGAAATACTCCAAAAAGGCAAAAACAAATGCATCCTCGGGGAGTCGAACCCCGGTCCCCAGCTCACACGATTTCTCGAATGGAAGGCTGGGATGATAACCGCTACACTAAGAATGCCGGTTGTTGAAAATGATGGCACAAAGACAAAAGATGACCCCTCCGACCATAGAGTGGACCCCATCACCCCTAGGTACTCCACCTCGTCCACCACGCAGGTCACTTACAATTTTGCTGATATATGTCGTTGCTTTTACTGTTGTTATCTTGAGTATTGTCGTGTTTTCTGTCGTCGTCCCCTTGTCCTTCTGTCGTCGTCTCCCTTCTCCTCCTCTGGTTATGAGCAATTTACCGGGGAGGCTGTATGGCCGTTTGAAATCAATCTTGGAGTTCTGCAGCTACCGTTTAAAGACCTTGAATTATGGGCATGTAGATGAGTGCCTTTCCCGACTGTCTGGTACTGGATGGGCCGCATTTTCGGCCAACGTGACTTTGACGCCGGGCTGTTGGAAAAAATGGGTCAATCTTAAGCACATAATGGCCCGAATTCGGGCTTGCCGACAGTTGGGTCGCAGGCTACGGCCTCACTTCAACTCATTCTAACCAGAGTGGACGATAAGCGCGCGGAGCGTCCAACACGACCAACCAAACCCGGTTCAATATTACTTTGTCTCCATACACTGCTCATGAGCCCATTTATACATTGTAGTCTAGATCTTAGACTTCACCTTGCTAAACTCGATCTTGTTGATGCAGGAGCCAACATTTTCAAGGCCAACCTCGACAACGTCTCCGTCCTTGAGCCACAATTGAGGCTTGCGTCCCATTCCAACACCCTCAGGCCTTGGTTTTTTCGTCAGTACCACCAACGCTACAGAGTCATAGGTTCTTCCACTTACGTTCCGGTGAAAATGATATCACCCGGCAGCAGGGTAGTGCCCTGGCTCAGGAAAGAGATTGTCTTCTTGATACCAAAGATCATATCCTTGGTGTTGTTGTTCTGCCTACTCGTCAGCCTGAGTCATTTACCTGGTGACTGTGCCGCTTACCTGCACGGTCTCGCCATTAACCTTGGTGAAGATCTTAAGGTTCTGGGGGTCTCCAGCGATCTTGTTGGTGACGATACCAGGACCGAAGGGCGCCCAGCCATCAAAGCCCTTACCCAGAGACCACTGGCCACCGCCACGCTGAATCTGCCAGTCACGATGCGACACATCGTTACCGACGGAGTAGCCCAGTACGTAGTTGAGCGCCTCATCCTCTGATACGTCAGAGGCAGTCTTGCCAATGACGATGACCAGCTCACACTCATAGTCAAGAGTGCTGCCAGTCTGGGCAATAGGATGCACGGGGATGGGGTCGGTCGGACCGGCCAACGAAGTCACGGGTTTGTACTAGCCAAATCAGCATGTCGTTCTAGCATACTTGAATAAGTAACAACTTACAAAGAGAACAGGAAATTTAGGAATGGCCATGTTTGACTATGAGATATTAGTTTATGCTCAGAATGGTTCCATATAAGTGATGGATGCGTGCTCACCTCCTTGGCGTGGTTAGCATAGTTGAGACCGAGACACCGCACCGTCTTGACGTGCTCAGGGGCCAAAGGAGACAGCAACAGGCGAATGTCGGCGACGTTATCCGTCACATCGTGTCTACCAAAGATGTCGCCAGTGATGATGCGAGCTTGTCTAGCCTTTGCGATGTCCGAAACGCCTCTGGGCAAAATCGCATCGCCGTAGTAAGTCTTGCCATCGCGGGCCAGGAAGCGAACGAGCCTCTAGGCGTGTGTCAGTGGATACATACTGTTGAGTTGTGGTAGGGTGTACTCACAGAAAATGAAGCCATTGTCGATATTAAGGCAAAACAGCTGGTCGCAATTGATGGGTAGACTAGATGAGATTGCAATATTCTACGATTTACGAGCAGCAATTGATGTAGGTGTAGGAATGAAGATGTCTCCTTCACGAAGACGCCGTAGCAACACCGGGAAGTCTCCGATTCCCAGCCGCTGACCCCACACTTCAACCCCCAGCGGGCACGGTCGAACCGCTAAAGACCGGTGCCGCTCGTGCGACTGAGCTCCCCCATCACCAGCTTCTGCATCAGCTTTTGCGAATTGTTTCTTGGGATTCTCTTCATCTGCCATATTATTTCCTACGCTTTCGTTTTTCAATCAAGTATTGTAAGAGATTATCATGGGAGAATGCACTCTTTCGACTAGCACTTTCGAGACTCGGCATTCGGGTCGTTGCATTCCCCACGAAGGGGACTGAGCTCTCTCGGCTGTTGTTTCGGCATCGCGCGATGACGCCCCGGGACCTGGGCACCTCTTTGGGATAGGTCCCCACAAGTTCGGGGGAGCTCGAGATCGCTGAGTCATCAGAAACCCTCCAATTGAGCACAATGTTATTGGCCCAAGCTAAGCAACGGATCCATTCCTGTGACTGACATCAACGATTTGATTCGAGCTTTCTTTCCGGGTGCCGTTGATGAAGTAGAAGCAGCGCAACTTCCGTTGTTTCGGTGCAGAGCTAGATCGCCATGGCAGCTGCGAAAAGGGGCCTTTCCGGTCTCCAAAGGGAGGTTCTGGCCCTCTATAGACAGTGTCTTCGAGAGGTCCGCAAGAAGCCCGAGGTGAGACTTCTATTTCTCTGGCAAGTTAGCATGTGAGAGCTAAAACATTACTCATAGATTTCGCAACCTCACTTTAGATCTTTTGCCAGGCAAGCCCCGCGACTCTTGCTTTTGAACTCAGAGAATCCTTCTAACCCAATCGCCAGGAACGAATTTGACAAGTTCCTCACGGTAGATAAGCGCGACTTCTCTGTCGTTGAACATTTGCTGAGGAAGGGACGGCGCCAACTCGAAACTTACTCATCACCGAGCATTAAAGATGTCATGAGGTGAGGAAGCTGCTCAGTCGGCATGCATCCTTCTGGCAAAAAAACGCTGCCCTCCCGCGCGATAAGAGGAAGGCCTCACTCAGTCCCAAGACCCAAGGCTGGGCGCAAGAGACGTCGTCTTCCCCACACTGTACCACTACATGTCTCTCCTACGACTCGTTTTGTTACCTAGAACGCATGATACCATCAACAATTCTTCTTGAAAAACAATTCTGATATCCCAAGTCCGTCAAGCATGGACAATGCTTAAGTGCGAAAGAGTCCTTCGAGACTGCAATTGCCTTTCATCCTGCTCCCCGCCCTTTCCGGAACCTGATCCAAGTCTTGCCCATCGAGCAGCAGAAGACGTCTTTCGCAAGCCCATAAGCCCGTCTGTCGAGAGCCTTCGCCGCCAACAACGCATGCTTCTGCACTCCAAAAGGACAAGTAGAGTTCGACTGCCATCTGGACGCATTTCTGGCCGTCGCACAACCACCATAGTGCCTGTCAGAAGACCCGATCGCTCCACAAGAGGTTCCGTTGCAGCTGCGGAAAGGGAAGTCGCAAGAATCCGAAGAAGCATTGTGTCTGACGCTCTCCGGCCGTTGACTCCCAGTCCCCGGCGACACAACAGAGAATCTATACAACAAACGCCCCCTCTGTACTACATCGAGATGGAAATGCCTATCCACGCAGTTCCAAGTCCCCCCAAGCGTGAGAGCAGTATGGCTCGCCGCCCAGTCAACATGGCCGAGCCTTACCGGCCACGTAAACCACGCATTTCTCACACACGACCAATTGCAGGTCCTTCAGGGTCACCTAGCCGGCACAGGCCCTCTCGGACCCGAGCTGGGCGTCCCGTTCCGGTTGGTAGCTCACTGAAACAGCGAGAAATAACCTTGTCGGCAGTTCAGGAGACTACAAGCGAGAGTCATCGCCAACCGGCCGCCTCGAATGCGAAGCGTTTGGGAGTCGCTGACCCACAGCTTCGGAACGCTATCCGCAGAAGCCTTTCGCAGCAGAGTCAAGTTTCACTACTCGCATCTCCATCCAGGAGATCCTCTATCCAGTCATCGGGCCCTCGTCAACCACCTTCGCGGACTTCAAGTAACCGTCGAGCCGTAGACCGATTCACCAAACAATTGGAAATCTACGCCCAGCGCAGAGAGGCTGCTGGGAAGCTTCCAGTTAACACGCCGACACCGGAGTCTGTTGTGTCATTGCATACCGTCAACGCGTTATTACCGTATCAAGACCAGTTTCTGGCTGCCGGTCTAGCCGTGACGTCCGATCAGCAACGACCAAAGCGAGAACCATCTGCGAGTCCGGCAAAGGACAAAGGCATCGAGACCATACCGGTTGAACAGGAAAGACGCCCTGCTGAAACTCGGTCTAAGGAGTCGCAGTCTCGGGATAACCCAGGCCATCTTCAGTTTAATGGCCAGAGAAGTCCATCTTGGGACTCTTCGTATGACAGCAGCTTAGGAACGCAGGTTGCCTTTACGCAACCAGAAGCATGGGAACTTGCCTACATTGACGAGGTACCGGAGAAGAAACCTGGATGTTGCAATTTGACATGCTTCACGGGGCGACAAGAATCAAGCGAAATCCCGGCCAACAGAGTGCCGCCTGCTCAAACTCCGACGACGGTAGATACCCCGAATAAAATCTTGGACAAATGGCACCCAGTATACCCGCAAAAAGATGAAGTCATCTGGATCAAGTCTCCAAGTGAGTAATCAGGTCTTGCGAAAAACCTTACACTGGCTAACAAATGCACAGAAGGAACAGATTTCCGAGACCCTCGTGTCAAGACATGGCACGGAGACACTGCGCAACGCCCTTCCACTTATCGACAAGCGCGCAAACCTCAACCCGAGGATGACTTGGAAGCAACGAGCCCAACGACCAAGCGTCCTGGAAATCAAGCCCCCGTGCAGGAAAATGTGCCGCCAATTCCTCCCAGAGCTCCGGGTCGCATCAAACCTTCAGTCAGATATCAAGAATCAACGGCCGATTCGGCAACCGCCAAGGGGGTACGCAAACCTGGACAACGGGACGTATTTCTCGATACCACAGATGCAATACTTGTCAAAACAAAAGCATCTACGCAAGAGCCGTCAAGTACTAGAAGACCAATGAAACCAATTGTTGAGTCTGTGCCAGATGAGAACACATTCTTGACAGAGGAGGTTTCAAGTAAGACGCCGAAAGAGACAATAAAAGCTCAGATGTCGACTCAGGAGCCGACGAGGATCTCTGTCAACCAGCCAGAGAGAAAGGCCAAAGAAAAGGCAGCCCGACAGAAACAGCAGGTCGAAGTCGAGCACCCGGGGATTTTTCATTCTGGAAGAATGTTCAAGAGTTTGCAAGAACCGCCAAAACTCACAGAGCAGCAGCCCAAAGAGCGATCCGCAACCACCAGCCTGGGAACCTTGTCGCCAAAGCTTGACCTCCCTTCAACGTGGAAGCTGAACCTAAGTAACCCCTCATCACTTGAAGAGGCGATAGAACGGGCATCTCGAGAAATGGAGGAAAGAGACACAGAAGAAACCCAGACTGCAGGAAACAACCAACCGGTATTGACGGAGAAAAGGCAGCCTGAAGCTGTCGACCTGACAAAGACAGTAAAAGAACTTTTCTCCCACCCCGTCGATAAGGAAAACGCCCGTACAGCCAAGAAACTGCCCAATAAGAACACAGAAAGCTCCATAGGCACATACTCCTCACTCTCCACTGAGCGTGATGACCGAGATATCGATGACCGAGATGTCTTGCGAGGCCTCAACATTGCGATATCCGCGGCTTGCGACGAGGAGGTGGACGCGTGGATCAGACAGAAGACAGGCGTCCGCATCCGACGGTTCTTGGCTGACCTGAGAGCATTCGAGACATTTGCTGAGGAGGACGAGGCAGACCCCAAACACGAGCGTTCTCGAATCAGGAGGACGGAATCGAGGAAGCTTCAGGCACAAATTCGGCAGTCGAAAGCTGCCAGGGAGGCAAGAGCTCAGTGAGCTGAAGTCAAGAAAGTATTGATAGCGCCAAGTGCTAAGCCAGGGGAAGCCTTACTTGGACTGATTAAGAGACATAATACCTGTAGTTTCTGAGCTGTCAGTCCTAAAATCCAGCTGTCGTCTCACATGGAGTCTTTTGTGTTTCGCGAGTGAGATTGTCTGTATTCCATAGCAGCATTGGTAAAAAAGGGGGGATTTTCTGCAGGTTCACCCATAGCACAGAACATGGTGCACTAGGGTGCAAAAGATCGTCAGTGACTTCGGTTGGAACGACGTTCTGTTTTGACTTCATCGCTACAACAGTAGCATGCTGTGATCGTGGATGACCGACTTGGAGCATCATGACCAATTGAAGAGTATACGAAAGCCCAAACGCAGGGTTGGCGCCTAGGAATGAGGCTGAGATGAGCTGCGTTTTCAGCGCCTTGGCGACGCGGCATAAATACGCCCAGAGATGCTTGTTTTGACTTTTTGTTCCGTTTTGGCTGCGTAGTGAGCTGATCCTCTAAGCAAAGATAGACACCAGAAGGAACAGTGTCCACATAAGTTTCTTCATACGAGAATTCTTTCTCTTTGTATTATATCGTAATTATATGTGTGTATCGCATGACTCTGAACATTTATCGTAGGGGGGGTATCTGCATGCTCATATATGCTCTTCCATCTAAACATGATGCTTCGAAATGGTGGGCCTGGGCCCAAACAAGACTTCGCACATCTTCTAACCGCGCTTGTGCTCAAACTCCTCGGCCTCGTGGCCGATCTTGACCTCCTGCTCGACCTGGGCGAGGTCGAGGTCCGCGACCTCGGCGTCGGGGCCGTCGATGACCTTGACGAGTTCCTCGAGGGTGGGGCCCTTAGTCTCGACGTAGAAGAGGTAGACGAAGGTGAGCTCGAGGAAGATCCAGCACTGTGGGGAACGGTGTTAGTCCAGTTTCTTCTCTTCGGGAGATTGCACGTTGCAAGGCGGCGACTCACAGTGTAGATGAGGTACAACTTCCAGGTGTGGCCCTCAAAGTGGTCAAAGGCAACGGGGTTGGCGTAGTTGTTGAGGGTGAGGGCAGCCTGGACGACGAGGTTGACGAGCATGAGACCCTTGGCACGCAGCTTGTAGGGCAGGATCTCGATGGAGTAGCCGATGAGGAGACCGGACCAGGCGAAGGCGTAGAAGAAGCCGAAAAGCCAGATGAAGAAGATCATGGCGTAGTTGGAGCCGGGGGAGCCGTGCTCCTCGTACAGACCGGAGCAGAGAGTCCAGAAGACGAAGGTCATGAACATGCCGCCGGTCGAGGCGAGGAAGATGGGACGGCGACCGAACTTGTCGACCTGCAAGGCCAAGGTGATGGAGACAATCAGGGAGAGACCGGTCTGGCCAGCGGAGAGACCGAGCTTAGCCGTGGCGCTCTCGATACCAGCGTTGCCGTAGAGGATAGAGGTCTGGGAGATAGGAGTTAGTCACAAAGGTTCGGCAGCGAGAAACCAGGACTTGTGTCGTCACGGAAACCTACGTAGTTGGAAATAATAGCATTGCCAGACCATTGCGAGAACAGACCAAGAGAGATCAAAACCATGAGACGGTACTTGTTGCCGGCGGTGCGCAGGAAGTCGAGGTAGCTGCTGCTCTCCTTGGCGGCCATTTCGCGCTTGATGGTGTCGCGAATCTCGCGGAACTCGAACTGGACCGTGGGGTGTTCGGTGTTACCGTTGGCGTGGTACTTGCCGAGGATCTGCAGGGCCTCGTCGTGGCGGTCCCTGGAAATGAGGAATCTGGGAGACTCGGGTACCCCTTTGTTCTCGTTAGCTACGGATGAGACTATCGGTCACTTGGCTCGACCTACAGAGAATGAAGATGAGCTGGACGACGGAGGGAACAGCCTGGCCAAGAGCAGGAATGCGCCACGACCATTCATTGCCGAGGAACTCGGTACCGAAGGACAGCCAGGCGACGATCAGAGCTCCGACGTTCCAGAGACAGTTGTAGACAGTCGTGAGCCTAGCGCGATGTTGGGGATGGCAAAGTTCGGCGAGCAACATGGGCGACGCGATCTGGGCGAACGAGTTACCGAAACCAAGGAGGGCACGACCACCCATGAACACTTGGAATGGTCAGCTATTGTATCGGGGCGCGGCTTTCGTGTATACTCACTGCCCATGTTCTGGCAAGCGCCCTGGAGAGCAGCTCCAGCAACCATGATGACGCATCCAATCACAATGGGAATCTTGCGGCCGAATCTGTCTGCGATAATGGGGCTTTTCTCTCGATCAGTATGTAAATCGAAACGGTGCGCCGAAGAGCTTACACTGCGGGCATGGAGGCCAAACTGCCGATTTGGTAAAGAGCAGCAAGAAGACCAAGCTCGCCACCCTTGGGGTGGCTAAAGAACTCCTGCCATGAGTCGAAGTTCTGGACAGAGTTGAAGAACATTCTGCATTGAAAAGGCGTTAGCAAGTCGCTTTGAGGACGTGGGTGTCGACGAGACGTACCCATCGTAACCGGTGGTGGCTGAGGCAACGCAGAGCACGAAGGCGTAGAAGTACAGCTTGCGCAGACCAGGGTCTTTCATCCAGTTGACCTTCTCAAAGTCGGGTGCCTCTTCCTGAGCCTGAACGACGGCCTCGCTCTTGGGCTTTTTTTGCGTGAGACCCTTGAAGAACCCCATTGTGACAATGGCTCAAAGGCGTCGAGTTGAAGGTGTGTGGTGTTTGTGTGTGTTTGTTGCGCGTTTCTGCCGGCGCGGAGAGCAAGAGCCAGAGCAGTCTCCGTTGTATTGGGCCTGGGGATGACTGGAGAGGGACAGCGAACGGAGGTGGCACGATCTACGACGCGGGGTCTCCAGGTCTAATATATGGATCCGGGGATCATAAGACGAACATAGGGAGGTGAAGAAAGCCTGACTGCTACAGTGCGAGTTCTTCTTACGGAGTGTCGGTCCGCAACAGGGTCCCAGGTCTCTAGATGGCCTTCATTGGGGCGTCAGGCGGGAACCACTTGGTCGGGATCCTTTGCTCGAAGGCCTAGTCGGACCTCGACCGACCCCAATCAGCTGTCATGATCAAGCTACTCGAGAATCTCCTCGAGCACGACCAGCCTGCAGCCAAGCTACTAGCCCATGTTAACCGGGGGTGGGAGAACGATGTGAGCAGCGGCAGGGGATTGCCACTTTCATCCGGCAAAAGTCGATGAGAGGACGTTTCAAGGCAAAGCTTCCTTGCCAAGTGAGACCCTCCGCATTGCGCAAAATGCTAGTCAAGACATTGTTCCCGTGCTGGAGGAACACCTTCTCCAAAAACTTGGGGCCGTCCGAACGGGTGAATGCGAATCGGACACCACTGCCCCCAAAGTTTTGCAATTGTATTTTGCCGGGCGTGCTGGAGTGGACACTGGCGTCCACTAGACAAGGACAAGACTAGATGGAAAAAAGGTGTGCGCGTTCCACTTGCTGAACGTTCCCCCTGGGGTCCCGTGGAGAAGACCATTCGAAGTGGAGGCGGCAGGGAAGTGTCGTCCCGGTGGAGGTTGCGACGGTCTCGCCCGTTGGCTTCTTCGTTGTTCCCGAGAGCAGACGGTTTGCTCTTAGGCTGGACGGTCATTGAACTTGTAGCCGTCCGAAAATATGCCGCTTCATTCGGTAGTCTTGTACCATTGACATGAACGGGTGAATATCCGGACGAAAGATTTCGAAGACTGTGTCGCCGGCTCCGTGCCTCAGAGATACCCTGGTAAGCGCCTTGTAAAGCGGGAGGTAAAAGACGGGAAGGATAGGAATCGCAAAATTAGGCGAGTTTGGGGTTGACTAGCAACTGGTTGACCGCTGCGGGGAACATAACGCCGAAGGACGGTAGGCCACTAGACCGTTTGTGCATCGACCGACAATGGGCGACTCGAGAAGAAACCTGGCATCGCTCCCCGTGACTCATGTTGGATGTGTTTTCCCATTCCGTCTTTTCACGGTTGCTGCTGCCTTCTCTGGGAGATGTGATAAGATACACATCCGACAGAGTCCAGGTCCTCGATCCTTTGCGTCTTCCCTGACGGTTTGCTCCGAAGACGTTCTTTTCGCCCGTGTGAGTAGAGGTGTGATATCGAGGTGAGAGTGTGCATAATCATTGGCAATTCTACAGCAGTTTAGTGCTCATCTCGTGTACCATACTTTAGCGGCGTGCTGAACGTTGGTAGGCCGAAAGTGAAAACATGTCCGTACCGCTGATGCTACTTTGTGTCGAGGAGACCCCTGCTCAAGGAAAGTTCCCTCGGTAAAGTATTCCCCCGTACTAATAGCCTGATGCCTTTTGGCACGCGTACACAGGAACAATGCTGCAGAATGCCGGGCAACGATTTCGTGCCGAAGGCTTCTCGAAGACGGCACGCGATCAAGTTCGCATCGTATAAAGGCCCAGTACTCCGTCCGTGTCACATCGCAGATTGTAGAATGCTGTGGTAAGCACCAGAGAGTGAGCTGAGCAACCGTGGCGACAAAGACTCGGTTACCAGGCCTCGTAACTCCCTCGGCCGACCCTCGCCGGCCTCTTGCAGGGCTTACTGAGGTTGACCCGCATTCCCCAAATCCCCATGGTCGAAAATGGGTGGATTAGGCGTGTGGATGCGTGGATGTGTGGAGTGGTGGCCACAGCACGCTCGTCACCACTGAGATTGTCAGTCGATCCATGAAGTCGCGGACCAGCCCGACTCTGTCTGCATACCATCCCGTGCTGTGACTTGCGCAAAGTCGTAGTTTGCAAAGCCTGATACGAAAGCCCTCAACATACTCTCCACTGGGTTCAATGTGCGTCAATAGGTATCGTGTTTCGAAGAAAGCGTTCACGTGGTCGTTAGTCGGCGCGTGGGTACACCGTTGGTGGAGACTTCCAGTGCCAGACTGGCCAGTGCCGTCGACAACCGTACGACACTCGTCCAGCAGCTCGCCTGCCCACCGGCTCGAATCTGCTGTTCGAATGGTATCGAATCCACAATAACAGACGTGGGGATTGCGTTTCGTGGAGCTCCGTGAAGACGGTCGTTATTGTGCCGGGTTGAGGTTAGGTACAGAGAGGTTGGAGGCGTGCGTGAAGTTGGAGAAAACCATGCGCCGCCGCCGCACATGGGTGTTTACATCCAGGGTACCACGACTCTCACCTGCGCCACCCATGACATTTGGCGTATTTTGCCATTTAGCCTGATTTAGGCTAAATTGACAACCCGGTAGTGGATTTCCCTGTATCGGAGATCGCGCAGTGTCAAAATATCGAATTGCAGGGCCGTCTTGGGAGTATGAACCAACACAGCTGACTACCAGATTCTGGCCATGGTTAGATGTCGAGTTCATGCTCCGTGTGACAAACACTGGCTTCCATAAGGTCCGATTATTGCGGCCCAGGGTTCCTCTGGTCCGCCGACACGGGGTTGGCCCGAGAATGATGCCCCAGACGGACGGATCCGGGGCCGTCTTCGACATCTCGGGTAACGGCACTCTTCGTCTTGGGTCAACCAGCTTCCATTGCTGACAGGATGTCAGATCATCAGACCCAAATAGCAATCAGCAACGAACGACGGCTCCCAGGCCCGTCCGGCCTCTCAGAGACCAGCGGAAGGACCGATCTGCTGCGCGCATTGCATGTGCCATTTCTGTGAAACGCGCAAATCTCGAGACGTCGTTGAGTTGCGGCTGCTTCCTCCGACCAGGGGTAATTTATCCATATATTGCCGGCATGTCGCCGCTTCAGAGGATTCCGCGAAGGGCCGAGAGTGTGCTGGCAGATCGCCGAATCCGTGATCTTGGGACCAATTGCTTATATTGCCTCCCGCACACGGCGTTTCTTGGTGGGCAACAGTTCCAGGAATGGAACGACTTCTGGAACGCGAACCAATGGCCGTACCTGCATGTCTTGGGATGCGCCGCTGCCGTGCCGGTGCGACTTTGACTGGGCGTGGTGATGGCTGACTATTGTGACGATCATCGGAATGTGTCTGGCCGCCTTGCCGTCGTTGTAGCATCATGCAAAAGATGTTCCTGACGCCTTCTGCATGTGTAAAGGATGCGGCTGTTCCGGATTCTGAAGCATGTCACTTGACTTCCCATCAAAGTTGATGGGCCACTGCAAACAGAGGTTTGTCTGAAGGCACACTGACAAGAGTTTGGTGGTTTGGAGTTCGGTTGGTCGACGCACGGACTCCAATTCGCCAGTTGTTTCCCCACACGAACCCCAGCTCATCCGACGCAGCACTCGCGGTCGCATGTTCACCAAACTCACTTCCCCAGCTGTATCCCGGGGCTTCAGTTTATTGCTGCATTATTCGTGATATTTTGGTACGACAGCAGAAATGAGCGACCGCAGGCTTAGTGCTCGTAGGCCCACTGACTTGGAGGTCATGCTGGCCAGGCAGAATTTCACAGCCAAAGAAACCACAGATGAGCATTTCTTCCGGTGTTGGCAACGCCAGGACTGCAAGGGCTGCCTTGCGGAGGACCGCTGCAGTTGGTGCCCAATGGTTGGTTTCCTCCGTCTTATTACAGCTCTCCAAGGACGATCGCTTATCATGAACACCGGCTAGACATCTGCATGTGTCCCGAATCCTTATGCAATACCATTGCTTGCGCCCGCATGGAATGAGGACGTCTGCCCACATTGGGCGGAGCGATGGGAGCTTCGGACAAGACCACTTGGTTGCCAGGTCTCGACCATCACCAGCCTGACGTCCATCATCTCGATAGTGTCCACGCTGGTCGTGGTATTGTTGGTAACACTCCTGTTCGTCACGATTCGCTGGGCGAGGCGTCGGAGCGTAAAGGAACCCGGATGGTGGAGGGTTTGGCAGTACGACTGGAGGCATATCGTAACGCGGCGAGACAACATCGGAGAGCAGGACCCTTTACTTGGGCAAGATCACAGTACGAGGTCAAATCAAGGCCCTTCAGGGTGAGCACCACCATATGTGGTGCTGTCTGTACTCGTAGCAACTGGGGACGATTGAACCATGAATGGACTGGATTCAAATCGTCGCCGAGCGCCATTCTACAATTCATTCAACCACCGCGCATAATTTTCAGCCCGAACTGACGGGCGGGATAATGGCTACTTCATCTCCAGCCTGGATGTTTGGCCCATCCCCATCTTCTGGTCCGGGGATGTCGACGTACTCCAGGTTCACTGTGACCAAACACGACTCCAAAACCTTCTCCTTGATCCCACTGTATCTCTCTTCGAGAATTTCGAAAAGCTTCTTCAGCGGCAGCGGAGCAGGGAATACATCAGACTGTTTGGACGTGAAGGAGCCGGCGCTGGCGAAGAACAACACATTGAAGTGGTCCTTGGGTGGCTTTGTCGCCGCGCTCATGGTGTCGCTGATGTCTGAGGATATCTAGGGTCTTTTTTTCAGGTTAGCCTTGGCCCATTTGCTTGAGGGAGAACAAAAAGGTTGAGGAAATGATTGGTATCAGAGATCTTGGTGATAATGGTAGAACATCAATGGAGTTCAGGTAATACATGCTAATTTTATTGCATCATTCCAATGTTACGACAGTTGTAAGAAAAATTCGACTTACCGATCAGCGATGAACCCGTGTCGCGGGCTGAGGAAGGAAGAAAGGATATTGAGATTGGAGGGAGAAGGAAAGAAGAAATAGCTGAGAGAAAGCTGAAGTGGGGCACCTGCAGAAAAAATCGTACCCCGTCCCACGTGACCGGAGCCGCACTGCGGTCGGCGACAGATTCCGTTTGGCGGGGCAGACCGTCGAAGATGACAGCAGGCATAATTGCACGTATTGAGAAGTGCTTCGGGGTTTTTGCGGTACGCGGCTGTTGCGCTGTTCGTGTCATTATCAGTGTACTCATAACTCTGCTAGAATGCCATGTCGCCGTAGAAGGCGACCCTTGTCCCCAGGTATCCCAAACAGTAACTCAAGCTTCACCGACCCCTCGCGCGTTTGCATCGCGCCGCATCAGAGGTAGGCACACACGGTCGACCGAGCAGAGCGCCTCGCGGCTGGTGGGAGAACCTTGCTGTATTCGTAATGCAGAATCCGTTTTTGACTCCTCTAAACACGAAAGCCGTGAGCCCGAGCTCGGGTGACGAAGCCCTTGCAATGTTCCTGTCCCATCCTCAGAACCAAGATCCGTTCCTCGTAATGTCCATTCACGCGCCGCCGCCGATCGTCGCCGCCTTTTTATCTCAGTCTGCGGGCCTCACGCTCAGACTCGAGCAAGCAGAGAATGTCGTCCTCGCGGACTAGACGCCCAATCGTTAGCAACAGGTTCCTCTCTCCTTTCTCGCATGGTGTTCGCTTCTCGGCGGTTGATGCGGGGGCAGTTTCCTCTTACCGGGTCCCTTAACGTTACGGATGATGGAACGGGTCTGGTCGTCCATGAACTCGACGCGGACCTGGGTGACACCACCACGGGAACCTGATATCTGTCAGAAAAAAACTGCCATAATTTGTCTCTTCATCGGCGCATCGCGAAGTTCGAATTCGGACGGGGGAGCGCATCGACTCGGGAGCTGGGCGTACCGGTGCGGCCAAGGACACGGGTGACCTTGACGAGCTTGACGGGCTGCTTGGTAGAATCCATTTTGACTGCAAGAAAAATATTACGTCAGTCGCGATACTCGAGAGCGTTTCGGCGGTGTCGTTGGCGTTGGCGGACGTACTTTGTGTGGTTGCGCAGGTTCGGTGGTGACTGGGCGGATCGCGGGTGCTGAATGGATTGAGCGTGTACTGAAGATGGCTGCGAACTTTTTTCGTGGTCTGGAGGGTTTTCCAGCCCTTTCGCTTGTGGACAGTGCCAGAGCGTTGGCCGGTGCTGATTGGTTGGCGGGGAACGGTCTTGAGCCACACCGCCTTCCGCTTCGGTCGATTCTGCAGGGGTTGCTACATTGGGAACATGGAGATTAGCATATCCCCAAGTGACATACATGCAGTAGGAGCTTCGTGTTCCATCAGAGCCTTGTCAGTACACGAGAAACACAAAAGAAATTCACGATGAGGCTTATCGAATGCAGTTTCATCATATCATCCCCGATTCATCTCTTCATTGCTTCTCCAAGATGGCTTTCTAACATGCGCAGCTCGACTAAATATGGATTAAAGCAGGGGTATCTTCTGACGGCGCTGGGCCTGTCATTGCAACTTCGCAACGCGCCCCTCCAAGTCCTTGACCCAGGCCTCCATAACCTTCATGTTGCCCGCCATGGAAGTGCTGCCTTCCTTCATAGCCTCCTCGACCTTTTCCAAACCTTCCTTCCACTGCTTGAGATCGGTAGCCATATCGGTCTGCTGTCTCTCAATTCGTTCAAGCATCTCGCTTGCCGTCGCAGCGTCGGAGTGAATAGCCCGGAGGGATCTAAGACGATCCAATAGCGGCGGCAGCAGAGGAGCCAGGCTTTCAATCGTTGGCAGGGTTCCATAAAGTGCGTTGATCTTGGCCACCTGCTCCGGTGCCTGCGCCTCTTCACTAGGCGTACCGCCATTACCCAACGTCTCTTGTGCAGACTTAGCCCCTTGACGGGCTTTCTCTAGTTCCTGTGCCTCCTGAATGAGAGTACGCACGCGACGGCTGATTGTGTCCAGATTGGACGTTGACGCTTGTGACAATGTAGTAATCTGCTTCTGCAGGCCATCAAGCGTTGGCAGAATTGCCCTGGGCAAGCCGTTGATGTCGACCTCTGGCAGAGCCGAAGAACCAACTCCAATAGCCTTCTCCAACAGAACAAGACGGCGATCAAAATCCGCGGCTTTGGCGAGGGCGTGACTCTGTTCGTATGTGGGAGCATAGGTGACGGTGTAGGTTGCTGCACTTCCCGCTACCAATGCATCCTGCGATCCCGCCTGCAATTCCTTGGGCGCTTGCGGCGCAGGTTGCGCAACACCTGTGCTCTTGGTGTGAGGCTCAATGGTCTTGGAAATCTCGTCCAGAACCTTGCTGAGAGAGCCAAGCTTCTCCTCCTGGTCAGCCCCGCCGGCTTGTGCAGCGGCCTCCTTTCGTTTGCCATACTCCTCCCTAGCCTCTTCAACCTCGCGTTGCAGGCGCGCAATCTTTCTCTCTAGGTTATCCTCGTCATCTTCGTCGCTGAGATCGCCAATTTCCTCGGTCCCGTCTTGCAGAAAGCGCTGGCGCCTGGTCGAGGCCTTGTAGGACTTGCGCTTGCCATCGACTCGGTCTGAGAAGTCAACACCGGTTGCGTCGACGCCGGCAGGCAGGAAACGAGACCTCGCTTGGTCTATGCGGAGTCGTGACCGGGAAATGCCGTTTATATCGTCGTCAAGATCGTCGTCGAATTCGTTGTCGGAATGCGATTGCACCGTTGTTGTCTACCACCACATCAGTCACACGTCATCTTGGGAGAACGGCCCGACGCACAGGAACCGTGGAAGTGTCGTCTGTCAATTCTGGGGTCTCGTAAACATCTGGTGCCGAGTCCTGAGTGGTGTTAGTATAGACCGCCTTTCGTCCTGCCGTTGGTGTCTTCAGGTGCTCTGACCAGATCTGGCAACGCTGCGTACTTGCGGTTCAGCGCCATGTCGAAAGTTGGAGTTTGGGCTTTAGTGAGGGTTGACAGTCAAGATCGCGATCGCAGGTTGGGGCGCGTCGGCCAAGTCTGATCGAAGAGTCGATCAGGCAGCTCTGGCGTTTGTTGACAGCTAAGATGCACGACGCAGGTGAAGTCGTTGAAAGCAACAGAGCACCCCTGCACGAGAAGGGGAAGCTGCACCGCTGAGCCGCAGGGGAATTCCACTAAAACTCCCCGTAATGCACGGAGGCGTAAGGTGAAAGTGGCAGGTGGGGTACACCGGCGCCCCGGCAGGCACGCGTCAAGGACGCGACTTCAGCTTTTTCATGAGGGAGCAACACTTGACCCCAAAAGGCAACCCTCTTTTTTTGGGTCCTCGGCCGTCATTCAACGTCTCTTTGAACTTCACGACGCTGGACTCAGATCACACCCCGGTCAGGCAATCAATTGATGTGACAACTGACTCTCAGCTCATATTCCGGCTACAGGCGTCTGGGACATCTGCCTCCCCAATTTTCCTGGCCAGCACCCGCCCGAAGCCGACGGCCAATTTCGGACGGGAAGAAGCCGCCATCTTGCCGTTCTTACCCGTCTTAGCTTCCCAAGAGCTCGCTCTGGGGCTGACCACGAGCAATCATTTTGGACTCCTACGCTATCTTGAGTCCGGGGACCTTCCGCTGGAAATGTCCCGGCTTCAGGGCCACCAGCTTGAGAGGCGGACCGGCTTGGCTAGGAGCTCTCAGACGGCCCCTTTGCTAAGAATTGTCGGCGGCCAAACTCGCAAAAATGTCAAATCTACCAAACCCGTCATGCCGGCTGCCGAAATGACGGAAGCCCAAGTCTGCGAACTGCCGCAAGATGACTCAGATGAGGTCAGTGAGCCGGATATGCCATCAAAAAGCCAGGACGAGGCCCCGGGGGACACTCAGGAAGAGAGATCAAGTTCAAAGGGGAAATCTCCCAAGGTTGTCTCGAAGCCCACGGATGATCCTGATTCAGACGCAGACTACGCTGCTCGTAAAGAGAAAACCGATGTAAGACAGACATACTTCGGGACTTCAAAAGCTGGGCGAGAGCAGGAAAGAAACTTCCGCGCCTCTCAAGAGACCGGCTCAGGGCCGAAGTCCTTTGGTGGCTCTCAAGGCTCCAATTCTCAACCGCGAGGCAGCAAGAGAAGTTCTCCAGATACCGCCTCTCCAGGTCCGGAGTCTAAGAGAGGCCGGACTGGGGGAGTTGACAACGGTAAAGATACTGCCAAGCTTCTTAAGCTCAGTCAAACTTCAAGCCAACGCAAGGGATACGGAAAGAAAGACAAGGAGAAGGCGAGAATTGAAGAGAAGAGGAAGGAGAGGAAGAGGGAGAAGGAGGAGGCCAAGAAAGGTTCGTCCATGCGCCCCCATGACCTTTTCTTACTGCTGACCCTCGTCCTAGCTCGCCAACCAGCGCCGGAGGTAAAGATGCCCTCATTCAAGTCATATGACGATGATCCGTTTGAGAAGTTCGACGTCAAGAAATCACCGAAAAGCCTCGTTAATCCCGGGGCATCGTTTCTTTCGTCGCCGCCTGGCAGTCCTCGGAAAAAGTTCGTGGCGCATTCGTCCCTCAGCCCCATCAGCTCGCCTCAGCGTAAGATCAAGGCCGAGTTCAAGGATCCTCCAGCTTCATTGCCTGAGCCGCTGCTGAGTTCTGGCACAGCACCGGCACGCCTGCGTGACTTGGTACCAAGTCTCGAGACTGCTCCGAAGATGCTCAAAGATCCGTTCGCAGAACTGCCAGACTCTGATCTTGATGACGATGAGGATGAGAGCCCATCTTATTCACAGCCTTTAGAGACAGTGACACGCTGCCCCATGTGCGGTGATCCTGTCGACAAGGACTTTCTGGATGCCTTCTCAAACGGCACCCGCCTGCGTATCCACAGGCAGCTTCAGTTCTGCCGGCAACACAAAAAGAAGTCGGCCGAAGATGCCTGGAAAACACGCGGCTACCCGGATATTGATTGGGTGGAGCTCGGCTGCCGCCTCTCAGACCACTACGACTTCCTGGAGGAAATCATTAAGGGGGGTCGGTCTCACTATGGGGACCGTTTGATTGACACGGTCAAAGAAGGCAAGAACCGCACGCTGTTGAAAGCCGAAGGCAGCTTGACACCCGGATACTACGGCCCACGTGGCCTTCGAGCGTTGTCGGAAGACATCATTGCACGTTTCTCATCCATTCTCAGAGAGCGGGCCATCGATGACCGACTTATATCTTCACGCGGATATTCTAGTTATGTGGAAGCAGTCTTGGTCCCTGAGTTGGCCGTCAAATTAATATGCGAGGATATGAATGTGGAGCCCACGGAAGCAAGAAAGATACTCGAGGACAGCAAGGAGATTGGCGACATGATAAATGAGGATATCGGGGACACGGTCGACCAAGTTAGCGACGATGAAAGGGATACGTATTAAGAACTTGGCATGGGTTAAAAGGTTGCATAGGTACGATTTTACGCTTCAGAGACGGACAGACTTGTCCAGCGAATGGCATTTTCACAGCGAGGGACTCGCGGATAGCACAGCACGTATAAGTACAAATATCATGGAAATTGAAAGCAGCTTCATGGGACTCCCAGTCGCATTTGACATGGGAAAGTAGTGTTCAATTCTTCGTAAGGTACATAGTGGGTATATGGAATAATATTGGTCTTGAAATACTCGTCTCAGCGAGGTCTGTCATGACCCCTTTCGCTGGCAGGTGTGTATGGCATGGGTACTGGAGAAAGAGTCAGCAAAGAAAGCAAGAGACAGTGGCTGGCGCCGTGAATGATACTTACTGGTGTCTGTCATGTGAGAGCTGATGGAGCTTGTTTCTTCGGAAGCATCTCCTGGGCTCTTGGCGTGGCGCTGCAGATTCAAATCTGGCCCGACCCCGGAGGCATGCTCGCTTCTAGTAAAGTAGCACTAATAGTAGTGTGTCCTGACTTTTCCCGCCCTACCACTGTGCATCGCGTATAGCGTAAAAGCACATGAGCGGCTAGGTCAGGCTCGTCATGTAGCTATCGACACCGCGAATACACTACTCGTATGGCCTCTTGAAATTGTTCGAGGCTTGCGTTGGACTGGCGAACACGCCAGTATTACTCTGCACCGACGTCATCCAGTCATCACTCGCCACATTGTCCCACAACGCTCCATTCGCAAAGAGCATGTCCAAGGTGCCGTTCGACTCGACCGTGTTGAAAGAGCCGTCGAAGTTCTGCAACTGGCCAATGAGATCGTGCGCCCCGGGGCCCAGCTGGGCAGACTGATCCCACATGTTGGACCGGTCGATGTTCTGCCGCTGGGGCGACAATGGGTCGGGTGTGGTGCCGTTGCCCAGCCCCTGGGTCGGGTGGTCTTTGTCGAGCATGGCCATGAAGCTTGCTTGCGCCTGGGCTTGGGCGTAGGCTGAAGCGGCGGCGGCGTCTGAGACGCCGTCGATCGGGGTGAACATGGATGGCGAACCGTTGGATCCTGCGCTGCGCTCCTCTCGCCAATGTTCGTCGTCCACTTCCTGGACTCTGGGCGACGGGTTCCTGTTCATGATCATCAGGGGACCGTCTTGGACCTCGGCGATGCGGGCGCAGAGCATCTCCAGCAGGGCCTTGTTGCCTCCTCGGCAGGAGGCCAGCACCCTTTGCAGTTGTAACAGAATGTCTCTTGGGCCGTCGGTCGAAGCCCGCGGGAGCCGAAAGTTGTTTGCGACGGCATCGGTTACTGCACTGGCGATTTCATAAATCTTGAACTCCTATTCCAAAAAGTCAGCAAAGACACTGAGGCGGGCCAGCAGCGGCATGTTATGATCCTACTATTCCAGGGCCATGGGCTTCGATGGCCGTGCTTGGCAGCTGTGATATGAGTTGAAGGAACTCCTTTGCGATCTGGATGGGGTGCGATAGGGAGGTCACGTTCTGGTTCGAAGAGGACGACCAAGCTCGACCATGGTTCATGGTAACCTTCCACAACACCGCTTGCATCCACTGGCGTGTGACGACGATATCGGCGCGCTGGACATCGCTGCTCGCGTCGGCATCCAGGGGTATTTCTTGGAGCTTCCTTTGGACAACGTCCAAGCAGGCCCTGCTGGCCGTCTGCAAGCCGTCCGCCATGGACCAAATGGCATCTTCCTCGTCCGAGTTTTGAAGAATGTCAAAGGCGCCGCTCTGGTCAAATATCCAGAACAGGTTGGCGAGCTTCTTGAAAGCCGGCAGGATGTGTCCCTCGTCCTCTCCCACGCCAGACCCATCCAGAGAGGGAAAGCGTATGTTGGACTTGAGCACGACCGGCAGCTTATGAAGCATTGCTACGCCCCTGAAAAGTGTGTTAGACGCACCAAGCTCACGTTTTTTCAACCACTCAGGGAACGGCGATACCTTTCCGTGACGAACAGCAACCACAATATCCTCCGCCTCATCTGCTGCTCTGAGAGAGGCAGACTCATGTACGACGACTCCTTGTGCAGCCCCATGATCTGGGCAAGAGTGATGGCCTCCCGCAGGTAAAGAAGGGACTTGGCCCCACCCGGCTGCTGGTTTTCGTGATAGACATGAAGGAAGAAGGATGTTCTCAACCAATTGAGGTTCATGGGTGGGCCGCCCTCCCGTTCCTGCAGGGCCATCCGCGAACGCTGGCATTCCGCCTCCATGGACCCCGCCGTCGCGGGATCATTGCTGTCTGTCGTGGACAGCTTGAGCTGTGATATCGTGGCAGCCCCAACGGCGTTGGCCAAGACGTATGACTCCAAATCATCGGCATCACGGTGGAGCGAGGCCATTATCTCCTCGACGGCGATGATGGGCCATACTGGGAAGAGTCGCAGGCGGTAAACACATAATCTCAGTACCAGTGACGGGATCGGGGTCCTAGGGGGTTGGACAGCAGCAGCAATAGCAGCATCTTGCCGGACAACTCTTTGACTTCCAGTGGAGTTTCCTCCGTCAGACGAGCCTTCCTCGGACGAAGACGGGGACCGTGACGGCGAGGTGCCCGTCGGCGGCGCGCCGGTAGGCGAGGTGCTGCCAGTCCCATCACCGGCGGAGGCCGGGGCAGGGCCGGGGCCGGGACCGGAACTCTCTTGTTGTTGGGCCTGGGCAATCTGCCGGATTGTCTTCGCTCTCAGGTTCCGGGGCCCCCGGGTTGCAGGGACCTTGTTGAAGGTGCAGGCGGTTCCGATGGCGACGCAGCCGTGGCAGGGCGGGACCTCGGTGCACTTGATCTTGCGGATCTTGCACGCGTCACAAGCTCTCTTGCCAATCTTGCGCCCGGTAGACATGTCGCGAAGACGGAAGAGAAGCGTTGAAGACTACTCGTGCCGTGGCATGGCAGACTGCCAGCCAACCCAGACTTTGGTGTTTCCGGCGCCTCCCCACAACGCGTGTGATTGTGTGTCACCCGTTGTATGTGGTTTGTTTCCTCTCTTGGTCTTAGTGATGTAAGAGGTCGAGGATGGTATTACAAAGCAGGCAGGTGTTGATAATAGAAATATTCAAAAAAGAAAGATAAGAGAAAACTTCGGCTATGCTCCGGTCTGCCCAAGTCTGTCTCTGCGCCAGTCGACTTTTGTGGGATGAACTCGAGCAGAATGGTACGGAAACCCTTGTTGTCAAGCAGTGAGTTTGACAGCAAGAGAAGGGCAGGTGGGCTCTGGATTCGGAGGAGGGAAGGGAAAATTGGGGACTCTGAGTAGACAGAGGTGCTGTTTGGAGCTGTTTGAGATGCCGTCTGCGGGGCCTCGGCGATGGTGTGCTCGATGCACTAAGCCCGGCGTGGTAATGGTGGGGAAGACTCCCTGCAGCTGGGACCAGAGGGGATTCGTTAGGGATCCTTAGCGCTCTTGGCTTTGTATTTCCCCGCAAATTGCGGCCTGTTGACCGCCGACCGAACGGCCCTTTTTTTCCAGCGGTTTGGTCTGGACACTGCGGGAACCGTACCGCACCTGCCCTGGACTGATTCGATCAATCAGCGTCTCTGCATTTCGATTTGTAGACCCTCACTTTAGGAACACACTCCGAAGGACCTTACAACGCTGCAGAGTCTTGGCTAATTGCCTTACATACGAAATCACCATAACAAAACACACAATCGTTGACATGTGATCCAACTCAGCCAATTGTTGTTGTCTCTTTAACATGCGCAGGCCACGTTGGTTCATTTAAAGGGAAATATTACTGACGAGGGTAGTTGTCAATGCAAACCGCCAAGCTCTAAGCCCCTGTCATCTTCAATTATTGCTTGATTATCCACCTCCTAATTATTCAACTTGGGTATCCGTATTCCGCCGAAAAACAACTTCACGCTCGTTCGCATGGGGTAGTAATTGCACAGATCTTAGTAGACAAATCTGAAATCCAATCGCTTGTTTCCGTCCTTCTCGCGCGCTTCCGCGTCGTTCTGGTACGCCAGCCGCTCCTCGTTCGACATGGTGCTCCACACCCGCTCCTTGCGCTTGTTCAAGGTGATCAGGACTTGCCTGTGTACCAGGAACACCACAAGACTCAGAGCGCAAATGGACACGCAGACGGTGTTGCCGCGCTTGTAGTAGGGGGCGTCGTACGCGCGGTAGATTTGCGAGCCAATAAGCGAGCCGATCTGGACAATAACGTTGTATGTTGCGGCTGAGATGGCGCGCTTCTTCACGTCAAACGTGTTCTCGGAGATCCAGGACGACACGATCGGGTGGAAGTAGGGGTAGCCAGAGATGAGCGTGACCATCGAGAAGCGCTCCCAGTCGCGGCCGCCGTCGGGCAGCGTGAGCAGGCCAATGAGGAGGGGCATGATCCACGCCTCGCCAAAAATGCAGTGGAATGCCCGCTCCTTGAAGTAGTCGCTGCTAAATGCAAGGCCGAGCATGGTGAAGATCTGCAGGACAGCCGACGGGACCGTGAGCATATTCGCGTTGAAGGTCGTGAAGCCGATGCGGCGGAGCGTAAGCGTGAGATACGCCTGCACTGGGGTGGCTGGGATGTAGGCGACGAGACCGATGAAGTAGAGGCCCCACATGGAAGGATCCAGCCAGGCGTTCTTGATGTCCTTGAACGTCGCCGGCTCCTTGAGGGCAGTGAGGCCCTTTGCGGGGTCGTCGCGGAGGATGCGGTTGGTCATGATGACCTCCTCTCTCTCAGTGTACCAGGGTTTTCTCCACATGACCGTTGTCGTGTTTGTGGGGGACTGGGGGAGCCAGAGGAAAGACTGAGCAAACCCTGGTTAGCCGTCGGTTCATCGCCAACAAAAAGAGGGGTGTTCAACTTACGACAGTCGCCAGCACGCAAGTCAGGAGACCTTCCAACATGAACAACCAGAACCAGCCCGGGTGGCCCCCAATACCGCGCATCTTGAGGATGCCAGCCGCGAGGAGAGCCGAGATGACTCGCGCAACGTTGAGAGTGGACCAAAACACGGCCAGGCGCACCGAGAGCTCCTTGGAGGTGTAGAAGTAGGTCGCAAAGAGGATAGTTCCGGGAATAAAACCTCCTTCGCAGGCACCTTGGACTTGTGTTAGTTGAAAAAGACGAGAAAAAGGGGGTTTGCAACATATTCGAGCATACCAATGAGGGCTCTCGTAACGTAGAAGCCAGCGCGGTTCGTCATCCAGGCCTGAGCCCAAGAGACGGTTCCCCACATCATCATCATAGTCGGCAACACATACTTGAAGCCGTAACGCTTGGTGAGGAATTGAACGGGAAACTCGGCGCACAGGAATGCGAGGAGCTGAATCGTGGTTCCCTGAAGATTGGCGAATTAGCAAGTTGTACAGCCACGCAAAGCATCACGTCGAGTCTCACGTTGTTGTAGTCGTCACTGCTAAGCTTCATGTCCTTGAGGAAATCATCGGCCAGCGCGTTGGACAGGTTTCCACGGTCCAGCTGGAGGCCGAAAAACATGACGCAGAGCCAGGTCAAGAGCTTCAGATCCGTCTTGCGAACAACAGCCCTCTCCTCAGCCGCCGTCCAAGTCGCTGTCGGGTCCCATCGGTGCCGTCCCTCGTAGGACTCGTGAGGCGGGACGAGATCAGAAAGGTTCTCGCGGCCGACTGCGGGCACGTCAGAGTCCTGGTAGACCGAGACGGCGTCCTTGCCGCTGTCGCTGCCCGTCTTGTTGGCGTGAGTGGCCTCGACGTCGGCCATGTTGACTGACGGGTCTTGGCTGGGTGGGTGTAGTGAGTGAGGTCCGGATCAGGTTCGCTCGCAGGGAGGAAACCGGTTCAGAAAAGACGCGGGCGGACCGTTCAACTTCCCAGGAGTTCGGGCTGCTTTGTGGAATGAGAGCAAGCGACGACGATGGAGAAAGAGGGTCCCGGGAAGGGCAAATGGCATGTTCTGATGCTTCAACTTAATAGTCGTTCTGGAGGCTCTGTTTGAGGCTAGCAGATCACGGCTCACGACATCGAAGCTCGGTCTTGCGTCTTCGATGATATCCACAAACTAGTGGAGGTGAACCATGTGGCCGGACCGGGGGCAGGAGAAGATGGTGTTGACAACTTTTTCTAGTGTTTTTTCCTGGATCTCGGAGTGCCTTTTTGACAGGACCCGGCTCCGTTCCGGATGGCTTAGCCGTGTCTCCAACTTTCCCCAGATTCTCCAGGTTTTTTTCCGCGCGCTAGGGGACCCCTCATTGTCTTGGCCCGTCAACAGTATCATGTAATTCAGCTTCGTTCGAAACCGCAGCATTTTGATCGCAGGTCAGCTGGACAATCGACCGACAAAAACCTGGGACTCGGGGCTGCTGAACGGGCTGGGGGGAAATCATTCATCAAGGAGGGGGGAGGCAATGCAGCAAGCTTGTGATGGAATGGGCAAGGAGCCCCGGCAGAGAGTACGAAGACAACTCCATTGCTTTCTCCGAGAGATTCTCCAGGACGGAAAACTGGGGCGTTTGGCTCCGAACAAGAACCCCGCTCCCATGATTGGCTGCACCAGACAGCCTTCGCCAAATTAGGAAGCTTTGCGATTGCGCCATCGCCCACCCAGCCGGGAGCCGCCGTGCAACGAGAGGCCATCCTGTTGGAGAAAACGTCTGACGATCGATCCTCTCTCTCTCTCTCTCCTCATCGATGACTGACCTGACTGGCAACTGCTGCAGTGGACCCCCGGTTTCGCTCTGAGACATTATACATCCTCACTGTGATAACTACTTGAAGAAAATCTCACGGCTGCTTCGGCCCTACATTTTGTCAAACACATATATATCTGGCAATTCTCGGCTCTTTGCTTATCAGATCTCGCTTGGATAGATCCACGACTCATCAACATCTACCTTACCTACACTCATCATCTGCCGACTCTAAGCGGAGGTAGCCTCGTATACTGCTACTCATCAGAGTTGTTCTCACATATTGAGTCTCATCCTGTACCACCAACAACATGCCTTCTGCCATCTCCAACGACACCGAGGCCAACATTGTTGGCGGCAACGCCCAGGCCCGCCCTCGCTTGAGCAAGCCTCTGGTCTACTCCGGGACCCTTGATAACTACAAGAATGCCGACATCACCCCTGTCATTGGCCGGGAGTACGAGGGCCTCCAGGTGGTTGATCTCCTCAAGGCCGATGACCAGGTCATCAAGGACCTGGCCGTGACGAGTAAGAAATAATCTTGCACTCCAGCCGTTTGTCTTCCGTTCACGTAAAGTGTCTAACAAGTGTGCATCATTTCTCAGTCTCCCAACGCGGCGTCGTCTTCCTCAGAGACCAGGATGTGACCCCAACTCAGATGAAGGAGTTTTGCCTCCGCCTGACAGAGCTTGCTGGATGTGTAAGTCGCCATCTCATGTCGAATGGGGCAAGACTAACTCGGCAGAACAGCCCGAATCATCAGGCCTTCACATCCACCCCCTGACGGAGGAGGGTAGCGAGCTCGGTGACCAGATTAGCGTCATCAGCAGCGAGAAGCAGAAGAAGGGCGGCGGTCTCACTCACCAATTGAGCGATGTCAGCCGATTCGCCAGCGCCGGCTGGCACACCGACATCTCTTTCGAGCAAGTCCCCTCGGACTACGCCATGCTCAAGATCCACACCCTGCCCACGACGGGTGGTGACACTGTAAGTTGGGAAAACACCTGCATCCTTCCCTACCCCCTGTCCCCGCTGGACCCCTTGCATGCAAGAGAGAGATACCTTGTAGCTGACAAACCGTCTGCAGCTGTGGGCTTCAGGATATGAGATCTACGACAGACTCTCCCCTGCCATGCAGAAGTTCCTGGAAGGGCTGACTGCCACCCACGACGCCACCTTCTTCCACGACGAGGCCAGAAGGCTCGGCAACCCACTCCGTGAGGGCATCCGAGGCTCGCCACTGAACAAGGGCGGCGACCTCAAGTCCATCCACCCCGTCATCCGGACCAACCGTAAGTCGTAATCATCTTCCGTCGACTATAGTCTAGACTTTGCTGACAAAACGCGGGCAGCCGTCACCGGATGGAAGTCCGTCTACGTGAACAAGGGCTTCACCAAGCGCATCAACGGCGTCACAAAGGACGAGTCCGACGTCCTCCTCAACTACCTCTTCAACCTCGTCACCCAGAACCACGACGCCCAGGTCCGCTTCAAGTGGCGCAAGAACGACCTCGCCATCTGGGACAACAGGAGCATGTGGCACTGCGCCACGTACGACTACGTCGAGGCCAGGGCGGGCGACCGTGTAGCGTCGCTGGGAGAGGCTCCCTATCTTGACCTGAACAGCACCGGAAGAAGGGAGGCTTTGGGATTGTAGAACAACGATGAACACGACAGGGGAATCATGATTGGCGTTAGCGTTTTATGTATGGGGCCGATAGGTCCCGAGATGAATTGATACTACTTGCTATGATTATTGTTCGTTTCAGACTGTTGACTTTGCATGGGAAACCTTTCAGTGATTTTTGGATTTGATCATAGTGCCGTTCGTGGAGATGTGTCTGAGATTGTTGGAGCTATAGCCTCTAGCAAGGTTACATCACAGTGACCCTTGGCAATTATGTTTCTATTCCATTGATTCAGTTTATATCAATTTTCTGTCCTACCTGTTCCTTATAGCTTTCCCCTCACCACTCTTTCATCAAGAGAAACCAACAAGTAGTCACAGAATCCAATCAATAGAGAGAAACCTCTTCCATTCTTATGATCGTTTAAATGGCTGATGATATTTCTATTCTACTATATTTTCTTTCAGGCATGTCTCATGCTCAAGCCAGCAGCACAGCTACTCCCTCATAAGGGCCAAGCGTCACCTTTCCGTTGCTGAAATCGTCCTTGGTCTTGCCCTTATATGTGACCAAGACTTCCTTAACATCTCTCGGGAGACCAGTCCACTCGACAGACTTTGGCGAAAAGTTGCAGGCCACCAGGGCGGTTGACCCGTCGTCGGCCTTGCGAGCGTACGCAAAGACCTCCTCGTGGGCTTCGTCGACAAGGTTGAAGTCGCCGTAGACAAAGATGTCCTTGAACTTCTTGCGGGTTTCCAGCACGTGGCGCCACGTGTGGTAGACGGAGTCGGGATTCGACGTTTGCGAGGCGGCGTTGATTTCCTTGTGGTTGGGGTGGACGGCCATCCACGGCGTGGCGTCCGCGGTCGTGAAGCCGGCGTTGGCGCTGGCGTCCCACTGCATTGGTGTTCTCGCGTTATCGCGAGACTTCTTCTGGTACTCGACCTTGTAGGCCTCGAGGGTCTTTTCGTCGTCAACGTCCTTGTGCAAGCTGTGGTCTGTTAGCCTTGCTGCGAAACGATCCCGGTGGAAGGAGGGGCATCGTGAGACTCACTTCCAGTGATTCAGGCAGTCAATATCCTTGGACTCCTTCATGAAGAAGTTCTGGGGTACATTGACCATACCGATCTCCTGTCCCTGGTAAACGAACGGCGTTCCGGCTTGGAGGCCTTGAAGCAGGGAGATCATCTTGGCGCTGTTCTCGCGATGCTCGGGCGCGTCGCTCGCGAAACGACTGACGGATCGAGGCTGGTCGTGGTTCTCGAGGTAAAGGGCGTTCCAGCCATTGTTGTTGTACATGAACCGCTGCCACTTGTCGACCAGAGTCTTGAACTCCGCGAGCTTCCACTCCTTGGGGGAGAACTTGCCCTGCGGACCATGGTCGATATCCATACTGCCACACGTTAACACCAGCTCCATAGAGGAAGGGAACCACAGCGTTACTCACAACTCAAAGTGGAAAATCATGCTCAGCTCCTCCCGGTCCGCGTTGACGCTCTTGATGACCTCCTTCAGATCCCTGACGCAAGGCATCTCGCCGACGCTGAATGCATCGTACTCCTTCAGGATGGCACCCAGCTCCTTCAGATACTCGTGCAACCTGGGCCCGGCAGAGTACAGCTCCGAACCGGGGAGCACCTCCTGGTCAGAGTCCGGGAAGTCCTGCGGCTTGCTCACGAAGTTGATGACATCCAAGCGGAACCCGTCGGCGCCCTTGTCCAGCCAGAAGCGCATGATGGCGTGCACCGCATCGCGGACCTTGGGGTTCTCCCAGTTGAGGTCGGGCTGCTCCCGCGCGAAAAGGCGCAGGTAGTACTCTCCCGTGGTCTCGTCCCACTCCCACGCACTGCCTTGGAAGTGCGACTTCCAGTTGTTGGGCGGCTGGCGGTTGCCGTTAGCGTCGTACTTTGCCGGGCGCCAGATGTACCAGTCGCGGTAAGGGTTCGTCTTGGAGGAGCGAGACTGCTTGAACCATTCGTGCTGGTCACTGGTGTGGTTAACGACGAGGTCGAGGACAAGCTTCATGCCGCGGGCGTGCAAGGCATCCTTGAGCTCGTCGACGTCGGCAACGGTGCCGTAGGGGGCGTGGATTTCGCGATAGTTGCTAATGTCATAGCCCTGCCCGTTGTTAGTCTGAACGCCGCTCGCAAGCCCCCGTTGAATTCAAACAGCCACTCGAGGATGCATTTGCATTACTCAAGACTGCGAGAACGAGATGAGGGGGTTCATACTGACCATGTCAATCTGCGGGCTCTCAAAGATGGGGCAGAGCCACACAATGTCAACACCCAAATTCTTGAAGTAGTCGACCTTTGAGATGATGCCTCTCAAGTCACCCACCCCAGTGCCCTTGGAGTCTTTGAACGATGCTGGGTACACCTGGTAGACGGACTGCTCTTTCCACCATCTGCGGTACTTGTTGGGCTGGCCGCCGGCGCCGACGCCAGAGACCTCAACTTCGTGAGGAGCCATTGTGACTGATTGGTTTGTGGCGCGGGTTCCGTGTAAGTTCGGTTGACTCGTAGATTCGTTCGGGCGACAGTCGCGAGGAGTTGAGTGACAACCCCAGGACAGGAGAGTGAGAGAGACGAGAAGCTTGTATAGTACCAGAAATGCCGTGTTTGAAAAGAAAACCCAACGGCCTACGGATCTAGCTGATTGGAAGATTCGTCTGTTTGTAAAGCTTCAAAGCAACGTGTCGAGGCGAGAATTTCTGCGAATGGAAGCAGAACTAGCAGCCAATGGGGGCGCAAACTTTTGAGAGAAGGAAGATGGTTTGTACACCGTCAGGGCACAACACTCATGCGGACACGAGGCGGGACACGACGCAAACACGCTGTCTTTCTTGAGTCGACTGCTGGCTGCTGAGAGAGAGAAGAGATCGGCGCCGTGCAGGGAAGTGGGAAATCAGCTGCAAGCTCTGCCGGTGGCTCCAGGTGGTGTTCCAGCTCTTGGAGTTTCCTTGGAAGGAAAGTTGGATCGTCGTGGGGAGTGGTTTGATGGTACCTGTTTAGCTGCGGGCAACAGCCGCCATTTCACGCGAGGAATTCTACCGATGGGGGAGCGGACCGACTCCGATCAGACCCCGAGTGCGAGTGCCCCGCCATGGCGCTGCTTCTTGTAAGTCGTCATGCGGGGTAATAACTTGGTGAGACTGAGAGCGAGAGTGCTACTGTGCTGCATAGTAGGTAAGAGACAGAGCTTGGTGGGGCAAAGCTGAGCATGGCATTTCCGTCTGCTGCGTCTTCTGCAGTGTCTTCTGCATGTCGTCTCTCACTCGCCTCCGTCATTGTGCTCTTTGCAATTCCCCAATCGCCCGTCTCGCTCTCGCCATTGAATCCGTCCACGATTCATGAAGGCCACCGGTGCTATTTCTGGCACCAACCGACCCGGCCGTGCCTCTTACCACGTGTAAACCTTCGAGATGTCCTGCATTGACACCATTACGTTGTTGCGTGTTGCAGGTTGACGGACAGCACACCAGAGGCACCGAAATGCCCGTGTAACTTTCAGCACATTAGTGGACTGTCTCCGCCGTGTCCACCACACACTACCCGCCCATAAGTGTAGGTCCACTGCAGCTTACCCGTTGTCCTTTTTCCGAGAGTATCTCCGCATCGTCATGTGTCGGTGATGCATCCTCCGATGAGCCTCCGGACTCAGCTCCGGAAATCTGGTCATGAGAATGTTGATGTCGCACGAAACTGCCACGAGGAGCCATGAAGGGTCTCATCTCGTCTGTCTCCGGGTTCCAGAAGTCATCACCTTTCATGTGGTCACCAAACTATTGCTCACATGGAGAAGCCTCGGTGATGTTCCACTATCGGATGTCTGCTTAGACAGAGGTCTCTGATCGAGGAGGTCCTTCACTTCCAGGCTACCCTCGTTTGCTGCCTTCACCTTCACAGCTACTGACAACGCGGAAGGCCCAGATGCAAGAGACTAAGCTACCTCTGCAGTTACGGGCGCGGGTGAGGGACGGAGGTCGATCACGGTTGAATGTATGTATGCCTTCTCCGGCGCCGGAAGGAAAATCACATACGAGGGTGTCTATCGGCGCCGACTAAAGCCGGACATGGCGGCCGGCGGAATCCATCGTCAACGCCGCCGCCGCCGCCTTCGGTAGAAAGGCTTGATGTTGGAAGAGGTGGCGCTGCGAGAGGCTGAGTGCGGGTCACACCGACGGACAGCCGTCTTCGGCACGTTTCTCAGACACGATGATGCATTAGATCGTCCTGATCGACAAGAAATGTCTGAATCGGCCGTTGACGCAGATGTAAGCAAAACGCGTAGCGGGAACTCTGTAAATTATGCAAACAGACACGCCTGTTTCTGCGCCTCCGGTATGGCAATCATTGGAGGACTTGGGCATCCCACGCAACTTTTCCATCCATCGCCAGCGATGCACCGGTAAACAATTGCATCTCCAGAGAACACACAGCTACAAGGGGAGGGGAGCTCCCCTGTGTGTGTGTGTGTGGAAACTTGCATGTGCTCCGCACGAAGGGTCCCCACGGCCCCAACTGCACCGGGCGAGCGCAGCATGAGCGACGAGGGCGTCCATTGGTCAATTCCGTGAGGTCTCGCCGTATGACGAGGTGGGGTTTGGCGGGGGGAGGGGTCAGCGACAGCTCCCCGAGAGTAACTCCGCGGCGCGGGGCACGATTTGGAGCTTTCATGTGCGAAAAATTGACCAAGACGGGAGAGCATTGTAAACAAAACTTCTGCATCGCTTTTCCCTTTCACAAAGACACAAAGTTGCACGGCCGTGACGGAGTCGACGAATAGCTTTTCTGAGATACCCCCCTTTCAAACCGCGGAATCGAGATCCACAGACACAATGGCTTGGGAAGAACCGAGAAAGACAGGCATGCAGTACCGCCGCCTGGGCCACTCTGGCCTTCATGTCTCGGTGCTTGGCTTGGGAGGCTGGCTGACGTACGTAAACCGCGCAGCCTCTGGTTGATGGCACTTGAGCGATCCAGGCTGACCGACATGATGCGCGCAGGTTCGGCGGCCACGTTGAGAACGGTACGCGAGTGGCACACGGCGCGGAGGTTCTTGGGGTTGTCACTAACGGTCAGCAGAGAAGACGTTTGCGTGCATGAAGCAGGCCTACGACCTCGGCGTCAACTTCTTCGATACGGCCGAGAGGTAAGCTCCGCGCGGCCGAGAGAGCGCAGTCTGTAGACTGATCCAATGGTTGCAGCTACGCTGGCGGAAACTCCGAGATTATCATGGGCCAGGCCATCAAGAAGTTCGACTGGAACCGTAACGATATTGTTGTCAGCACCAAGGTGAGTTGGACGTTGGGAATTTTACTCAACACGATCACAGCGGCTAAGTAGGCCTTTGTAGCTCAACTGGGGCGGCGCCAACGGCGAGGTGCTCATCAACAACCACGGTCTCTCTCGCAAGCACATCATCGAGGGTCTCCGAGCCTCTCTGAAGCGACTCGACCTTGAGTATGTCGACATCGTATACGCCCACCGACCCGACCGTTTGACGCCCATGGAAGAGACGGTCCGCGCCTTCAACCATGTCATCGACAAGGGCTGGGCCATGTACTGGGGCACCTCTGAGTGGAGCGCCGATGAGATCGCCGAGGCTTGTGGCATCGCCAAGGACCTCAAGATGATTCCTCCTGTCGTCGAGCAGCCTCAGTACAACATCCTCGAACGCCGCAAGGTCGAGTACGAGTTCCAGCGCCTGTACCAGCGCTTCGGCCTCGGCTTGACCACCTTTAGCCCCATCAAGATGGGCTTGCTAAGCGGCAAGTACAACGAGAGTCTGGATGCGCCGCCGGCGGGCAGCCGCTTTGCCGAAGGCAAGGGCGACAAGTTTGTCAATTGGGCCAACAAGGAGTGGTATGGCAACGACGAGTGGAAGTCCCTGATTCAGAACGTCGTCAAGCTCAAGGCAAGTCCCCACCGGCCACCCCGTGATTTTGGGATGGCATACTGACGGTGCGCGTTCAGGGTATTGCGGAGAAGCTTGGTGCCACGCAGTCGCAACTGGCCCTTGCGTGGTGCTTGAAGAACCCGAACGTTACTTCTGTGATTACGGGCGCTTCAAGACCCGAGCAGATTGTCGAGAACGTGGGTGCTCTGAAGGTTCTGGAGAAACTGACACCGGAGATCATGGCGGAGGTTGATGCCGTCGTGGGCGAGGTCAAGCTCGACCCGGCCAGACAAGATTAGATTATGGCGTGTTTGCGGCGAGCGCTGGTTCTGTAGATCTATTTGGGTGGCGTAGTACATGGCACGGCATTTTTGGGAAGAAAGGAACAACAGGTCAGGCATAGGGATACAACGGGCTTTCCAACAGATCCATGCATATCCGTGTTGAGGACCCCGTATTGTTGGATGAGACTCGCTCGATTACTCGCTGACCGCCGTTTCAAGCTGCTCTGGTTGGTAGACATTTCAGAGGAACTGGCTTCTGGAAGCCGTGACGACAGGCCCCGAGTCAAAATGGATGCGGCAACCCCGGTTTGACGCGGCCAAACGATGTGCCGTCTGCGCCATTGCTCGTGCCCTGCTGAAGGATGGTACTCGCACGTCGAGATTGCATATGAGACGGACGGGAGTGTACTCCGAAGGCGAAGTTGTCCAGACCAGATTCAGGACGAATACGGTATTGGATGCTTCAGAGAGAATCCGACTGGCGCAAACCCTTGTGCAGCCATCTTGACTCGCTTGTGAACGTACTTTGTAGATCTCCAGGGACCATGTAGGGATAGTGCAACGCGTTCCTGGGCCGGTGCTCCTATGTGTAGATGAAACTTGACGAAGGGCGCTGGGAATAGTGTCCCGCGGAGTCACGGCGCCGTTCGGGAGTCAACAATGCCAGTGGTTTGGTTGTGGTCTAGACTCAAGAAGGTTGTCGATCTTCTTGTCTTAGTTGCACATCGCGAATCGTCAGGTGTCTTTTGAGGCATATTCCGGGGATGACAAGTAACAACCCACAAGAAGTCGGCCGTTTTTACCTTTAAGGTCTGTCAGCGAACGCTCCATGGCGGGGGGAGTCCATGATTTACCACGTGTCGATAACGTCCATGCAGCCTGTTGACATCCATCTGTATACCTTAGTCAAAGAGGCCCTCGGACGAGGAGGAGCGCTTATCGCTGTCCATGATCGCTTTAATCATGTTTGCCGCAATCAGGAGAGCGCACAGCCGCGATGATACCTCGGGAGCGAACCCGTTGACTCACATGAATACACCCGCGAGTGAACATGTCCCGCAGAGACAGCGTGTGCTTTCTGTTGGTAGCAAACCTGGGGTCCCGTCCGTCTCAGAGGCCAAGAAGCGGATGGGGTGGTGGACGCGGGCCATTCCTCAGAGACAGAGTATGGGGTACGGGTAGTTGGTGTGTGTGGTAACGTAGGAACGGTACGCTGTAGTGCTTGCATGGATGGGCGGGCTTGGGAAGGCTGCATGGCATGGCTCACCCAAGCGACGAGACGAGGTCTTCGCCGCAGGCGCATTGATCGCCGTCTGGTGGTTGTTTGGTATGAGGGACTGCTACATACCAAACAAGCAAGACGTGTGGCGTCACAGAGTGCGCGACCAGGATGGGCGGAGGAAGGAGATGGGGTTCTCTGGAAGGATTGGGGTCAAGAGAATGCGAAGATGGATGTGGCAGCATGAGCAGCAGAGGTCGTGAGCGAGATGCGAGGTGTTGCGTTGGTGTTGCGTTGTACGGAGAAACGGCAGAAAACTAAGGTGATTTGAGGCTGATGGTTTGAGATAGCTATCGCGACAGCTTCGCGCAGAGATCGAGCTGCCAAATAAGATGTCAATATCAGGCCACCTCTGAGGGGAATGACGCCGGGTTGTGGTGTTGGGGATGTGAAGGTTTGAGCTTGGCCCGCCTTGCTGCTTAGTGTCGTGAACGACGGTTGGGAATACAGCCTTAATTGATGGGCAAAGTTGATGCGCGCAGCAGGTATTAGGCCAGTAGAGTAGAGGGGGGACATGTGGCCGAGCAGGGAGGGGGGCATTTGTTCAATGCAGGGAAACTCTCGCAACTGAGGATGCAGGACGGGATGAGACGAGCATCTGAGCTGAGCTGCGATGTCTGCCCTATGCAGCGCCCCACGACTGCCTGCATGGCTGACATGTGTATGGTGTGGATGGTTGCGATTAGGCCGAGTATGTGTGTGTGTCTGTCTTGCTGTGGCTGCAAGGTGTGTTTGTTACCTTCCCTAAGGTACTGCATAGGATGTGACCGATTCTGCTGGTGTGTAGCGGAGGTCGAAGGAAATGAACGACCCTGTTGCCTGTCGGGTGGTAGAGAACCAACACCGGCCTCAATCCGAAAGCCAATGAGCATCCACTTCGAGTCGATGTCTGATCAAAGTAAAGGTCGACGAGATATTGAACTGAGACATCGATCTCGCAAACCAGACAGGATTTGTGCCTAGCCCGTATGGGCAGACAGGGCGTCTTGGGTTTTTTTCCCCACCCTTTCAGGCTTCTGTAAGAGCTTCGTGTCATGAAGCTACGCAGCCAAGACATGCAGAGAAGAGAAAGGAATGAGTCGGAAAATAGCTGGCGGAGGGTATGGAAGAGAAGTTAGAAAGAAGTCAGAGAGATGGAACCGCCAAGTGCATAGTGCCCCGACGAGCAACACTGAGTAAGGTACATGGCCGTAGTCGCGACAGCAGCGACGAGACTGAGCGGTAACAAGTGCGTTCCTGGTTCGCGGTGCCAAGGGCAAAGTGAGACTGGTCAGACGGAATCGAATGCGCGCGGGTGCTCCATAGTATTGTTGTTAGGTCAGCCGGGGACGTTGAAGGCGACGGGGACGCATGCTGAGTATGCTGCTCCGTACGGATCCCGCGCTGCGCATAGGCATTGACTGGCCGTATGTTTCTTGTCGTGTGCATGTGTCTGCCTTCTGGCGCGTCCGTCGCAAGGCAAGGCATGACTTGTACAACGATGGCCGGTACAGGTGAGATCCATGGGCCAAGGTTCTTGTCAAAAGTACCTTATTTTTTCCCTTCTTCTGGAAATAATCTTAGGTGCGGTGTTGCAGCGGACACGAGTCTGCAATATTCGATTTGATAGTGCGTCTTGGGTCTTCATCCGAGGAGAGACAGAGACAGGAACAGAGAGACGCTGCGGCTAGAGAGAGATGAGGAAGTAAAATTCCATTCCGACCAAAGCCTTCTTGGGTTCTGTCGTAGCTGCGTCGGGGAGGCGCCGGCGGATGCAAGTGCTGTTTTAGGCTGGCGGCATGTTGCCTTGGTCGGTATGCGTACTGCGTAAGGTAGGCAAGCAAGGCAGTAGTACTAAGTAAGTAAGTAGGTGTTGCTGCGAACGGACGGTAGGGCGATACCAGGTCTGTCGCAGATTCAGCACAGAAAACATGCCGCTCTGGCAGGTTCCGAAATACCAATAATTGCCAAGGCCAAGGCCGCCGGATGCAGCAATGAATGGATGTGAGCAAGAGTCTCCCACATTGTTGCCTTACCTAAGGCGCTTTCCCACAGCTGTGGCCGGTGGAATCTGGGTGCGTCCCACCACACTCCATGTCAGAGTGTCCACGTCCAAGCTCCTACCCCACTTACCCAAGATACAGTGTACCGTGCTTAGGGGAAAGGCCAGACGCTAAATCGTGAAGTGGTACGCGACTAATCCATTCTGGGACGGACATCTGCTCCCTCGAAACGCGGGCGGCAGGAGCAGGGCGAGCCTCACATTCAACATTCCCCCCTCACGACCACCTACCTCACCTTACCTTTACCTGCCTTGCGCCCGTGTGCCTTACCCCTCGCTGTGTTCCGAAGTGTCGACGGAACTTCCTGTCGCCCGTGCCTTCGCCAGTTGCACCTGATAGATGCGTATCGCAGCCACGTGAAGTTTGTGCTTGTCTAAGTAAATGATAACGTACGCAGCAAAAATACTTGCACTTGCACTTGCACGCAGCACTTGCTTGTAATTGGCCTCAGCTCAGTCGTCTGCTTGAGCCAACGACCTATGATCATCCCTACCTACCTTAGGTACCTGGTAACCGCCTACCCACTAAAAAAAGACCGCACCTCCAGGGCAGCGCTAGGTATGCCTCCGGCAGAGCGACACAAGCGACGCCTGCTGCGGGTCTCTCCCCAGGATTCAGACATAAAAAAGACAAAAAAACGACCAGGACGAATGGAGTGACACCGGGCCACGGCATACCTGAGAGATTATTGACGAGAAAGTCATCTCATTCCAACTGGATGCTACCTCAATCTTGTCCTAGTCATGTCTCCACGGCTACACGACGCAAAGGAATGGGTTTGAATACAACTATTCGAAGACGGGGATGTGCCCATCATGACTATTGCGTAGAGGTGTTTGTCCTGAAGTGTGCTTGAAATGCAAAGTCTTCACAAGTCGGGTACCTAGGTAAGCCAATAGGCAAGACCGGACAAGGTACATGCGCATCACCAGCTGCACCACAACACCATCGTCTGCAAGGCATTGTGTTCGTATGTATCTGTTGGTGTTGTAGTAGTAGTCGCAGCTTAGCGCTCGCAACTTGAAGTGAACCAACAGCTAATTAGCTACCACCTACACTTTGCCTTCCCATGCTGCACACACTCTAATTAGCTTGTGCTGGAACACACAATCCCTCTCACTCACTTACTCATCTCACTCTCTCTCTCTCACAAACACACGCACGCACGCACATACCTTCTGCTCCTCCTCATTACCTGGCTGCCCGACCTTACCTCACCCAGCAGCAGCCTCTTTCGTCGTACGCGACGGACCTCCTCCGGCCCTACATTTCTGTGGGCTTGTCCCCCATCCATGCTCGCGCCAGCTCCATTCTTTCCCGCATCTCCTCAAACCGTATGCGACATCGAATAACATCCATCACTTGTTTTGTTGCGGCTTTGCGACTACGAGACCCCGTTTCCATTCCATTCGCTGCGACAAGCACATCAACAACATTCACATCACCCGCCGCCATCGACTTGCTGCCGCTGATGCTGCCGCCTTCAATAATGACATAATCGAATCGACATTTTGTCTTTCTCTGCCCGCCGGTCATTCTGCTCCCGCCAGTCTGTTCTGCGCCCTTCTCTGTTTCTATCTCTCTCTCGCTCGCTCGCCCCCCGACGCCGGTCCCTGTCCACAGCCCGCCGCCCGAGTTGTTTCTCCATCCACCTCGTCTCGCTTCGCCTCGCATCTCCATACTATCGCGAATTCTCACGACCCCGCCCACTTAGTCTGCCCTATCCGTACCAACCTCGTTTCCCGTCCTCAACCGCCCGTCCTGGTTGTTTGCGTCCGCTCTCCGTTACTGCGCGACTGCCGTCTGCCTTTCCCCCGCCGTTGTCGGGAATGACATGGCTCTGCGCCCCCATGCGACGGCCTGGCGACAATGACGAGGAATGAGGCCGGCTCCCGCTTCAGCTCGCTTACGAGCACCAGCACCGACAGCACCCGATCGTCGGCCACTGTCAAACCCCAACGGCCGTCTTCATCGTCGGCGGCATCGACATCGACATCGCGCAAGGCGCCTATGCGACTGAAGACGGACGACAATGGATCCATCGCACAGAAGTGAGTGTCATGTTCCGTACTGTACTGTACTATCGTTGTCATGTTCATGCCCTGCTACTCTCTGCCCCCGCCCCGGTTCCCCTCCTAGTCATTCCGTCAATCAATCAGTCCATCATCCATACCATTCCAGACATGCCTCTTCCCACAAGTCAGTCAGGCCAGCCCAGTCAGTCGTCCAGCCGGCCCGGCAGCGGCAACGGCAGCGGCAGCCCCAGCCCACTCAGGCAAGGCAGGTCTACCTTATCCACAGTCCCAGAGCCCACACAGTCCACAACCCGAGTTCGTTCCTAGTCCCCAGTCAGAGTCCATCGCCGTCAACCTTGCTCTGGGTTTGGGGCTCCTCTTCCACGGCGCCCCTCCAAAACCAAGATATCCACCTACGCCATACAGGGCAGCCTCCAGTCCTCCAGTCCTGGCCTGGTCGCTGTCTGTTGTCGTACTCTTCGTCGCTTGTCCCTGGCTGGCCGGCCCCTGCCCCATTCATGGCGCCTGTTGCTGCTTGTCTGCTGCAACAGTGCAACTGCTGGAGCGAGTGTGTGGTGTCCCACCACAGCTTTCTTACACGCGCCGCGGCCGTCGTCCCGAAACCCAGTCCTGGGCGAGACACTTTTGGTGTAGCTTGGGCTTCTTTTTCTGCCCTTTTGCTGCAACTGAACTGAACTGAACTGAACTCGGCCGGTGCAGCCAGCAAAACTGCTACAGCAGCAATTCAGCTCTCTCGTACAGCTCCCCCCTCCCATCACACCCCTCCCAGGTCTTCCCTCCCCTCCAACAGGCCTGCTAGCGACCCTGAATTCCCTCTGGCACCCACTCCCCTCCCTTCACGTCCTCCCTCACTCATCGTACTGCCCCCCCTCCATCGAAGTCGCCTGCGCCCTGGCCCCAGGCAAGCTTTGTCGTCGTCGCTTCGTCGGTGGAGCTTTCTGCTGTTTTCGATCCCTCCAGTCCAGCCCAGTCCAGCTCGACCCGAGATAATCTCACTCGCTTTCCTTCCTCTCCCCTCCATGTTCCTTCTTTTGAATGTTTCTGCCCTGACGCCCTGACGAATGCGCCCATTGCTGACTGGTCCCTGCGTTCCACCCCCGTCTAGATCCTTCATCAGTGACTTGAGCCCAGCCCAATCCTCTCCAACCCACGCATCTGCGCCGCGCGGAGCATTGTCGCCAGCTTCAACAACATCCAATGTCTCCTCATTCCGAGATCACCACCGCTTGAGCGACTTCGCCAACTACCGCCGAGACCTGGCCGTGCTAGAGACCTCCGGTGGCCGTCTTCCCTCCATCCAGCAGCAGCCTCCAACGGCCAATCCCTCGTCAACCTCACAAGTCGCTCCCTGGATGTCGCCCTCCAACGGCGGTGCCACCGCATCCACCCCCCAAAGCCAGCTCAACACCACCTTCTACAATGATTCCAGCGACAACCTATCCATTGCCTCTCAGTTGTCGCCAGGCTTTCGTCCCCCCACGAACCGAATAGCACCTCAGTCGTCCGGAAGTCAGGATTCGCCTGACGCTGCCTACTTCGGAGACGAACGCCGGCCCTCGTTAGCTAGCATCACGACACTGAGCAGTCAAGGCTCCAAGACGAGTATTCGAAGAGGTGGATTACAAAAATTACAGGGCTTCTTTGGGGAGGAGTTTCCAGGTCGAGACGGGTCGGAAAGCAGCTTGCATTCAAGTTCGGGAAAGGACCGCTCGCGTTCCTATAGCCACAGCCGCCCTACCAGAGATCGCAACTACTCCAACGCGACCGACCACCAACGAGACCGAGAAGGTTCGCCTTCCTCTTCAAGGCCGAGGACCCCTGTGCCCGCTCCAGAGGTTGTACCTTTCCTCTACCAAGAAGCCGATGTGAGTAAAATCCACGCATCCGCATTCTCCTGCTGTTGTTTTGTTCTTGTTTTAATCGATTTTTTTTTTCTTCGGATTTTTTTTTGTCTTTGGCATCCCCTCCAATCCGTTGTAAACCCATTGCAATCATCCTTCCCGAGCTTGCCTCGCACTCATCCGCGTTTCCGTACCCTGGGCGCCACTATCACGCATGCGGGTATTGCGCCGCATCAAACCATAGTCTTATCTTATCTTTTATGCCCCTTCGTGCAGCGCCAGTGCATACAGCCTGTCCTCCGTCGAGTCAAGCCTGCTAAACTTGCTTCAAGGATATTGCCAGGTACGGCGAGGCCCCAGTCAGAGACATTTTGAGCGGCCCCGACCGCGAACGTTACATGAACAACGAAAATCCCAACAACCCGCAAAATCCACCAAAGACCTCCTCATCAAGTCGCTCCGGCCATTCAATCGTGCATCTGCCTGGCCACCATCACCGCCATAACAGAAGCATTGATGATGGCAGGGCGCTCCGGCCAACTGTAAGCAGGGAAGATTCTCAAGCGAGCTTGCAGGTGCAGAATCCCCGCGAAAGAGGCGGTTCCGCGGCTACCGTCATGTACCCTTCCAATCGAACCCGCGCCCAAAGCCCGACACCGAGCGGCGGCTACTTCAGTTCGAAGCACAATCCTTCCGTCGACGGCTCGACATCGCCCGGTGGCCAGCAAACCCATCATTCGAAGAGAAACATTTTAAATCGATTGCGGGGGAGGAACAAGGATAAGGAAGATGCCACGTCTAGGCTGCGTGAACTGCCCGGGTCGACCAGGTCCTTGGCCGCGAAGCCATCACGAACTGACTTCGCCCGACCAGAGGCACCTTCAACCTTTCCGCTCGCCTACGCAGGTACTGAGCCTGGCCCCGATCAGGACCCAAGGATGGCCGCGGCTGCGTACAACAACCAGCGCAACCAACAGACGTTCAACAACAGATTCCCATTTTCGAAGAGCAAAGGACGCCAACAACGATCAAATGACGTGGAAGAGCAGATTGGCCCGACGGATAGGCAAGCAGGCCAGGGCACCGGCTTCTTCCTCGATACGAACCTGAGCGACATGGAAGGCATCCTAACCAAGCCTCCAATGCTGACGCCCATGGATACCACCTTTGTCACGAATATCCCCGACAAAGTCGACGTGGCTCCTCCGGTGCCCCAGAAGAATGACGCCTTCCCAGGAGGGCCCAATGGCTCCTGGAATGCACCGGACAGTTGGGCTGTCCGTCGTAACACAGAGGACACGACTTACCAACCCCCGGATCTCGACGACATCGGCAGTCCGCCTCGCCCCGAAGAAAAGATGACACCCTACTGCATCCGAATTTTCAGATCCGACGGCACCTTCGCGACCCTCTCCATGGCTTTGGATGCCAGTGTCACCGATGTCGTTTCTATGCTTATTAAGAAAACGTATGCTACGGACGGCCTGGAGAATTACCACATCATCCTGAAGAAGCACGACCAAATTCGTGTCCTCGCTGCACCTGAGCGCCCACTTTTGATGCAGAAGAGGCTGTTGCAGCAGATCGGTTATGAAGAACGAGACAGGATTGAGGATGTGGGCCGTGAAGACAACAGCTACCTTTGCCGCTTCATGTTCTTGTCGTCGAGAGAGAGCGACTTCCACTCGGTTACCAACGACCTCGGCCTCGGACGCATACAAAAGTTTAATCACGTTGACTTATCCGGACGCAACCTCATCACAATCCCTATCTCGCTCTACTCTAAGGCTTCAGAGATCATATCACTGAACCTATCTCGCAATCTGTCATTAGACCTTCCTAGAGACTTTATCCAGTCATGTCAAAATTTGAGAGACATCAAGTTCAACAACAATGAAGCCCGCAGGCTACCCCCGAGTCTTGGAAAGGCTGCCAGACTGACATATCTGGATGTCTCGAACAACCGGCTCGAGCAGTTGGATCATGCGGAGCTGCATGGGCTACATGGCATTCTTAAGTTGAACTTGGCCAACAATCGTCTCAAGGCTCTTCCCCAGTACTTTGGCGCCTACAGGTCACTGCGAAACCTCAACATATCTTCCAACTTTCTGGAAAAGTTTCCCCTCTTTCTTTGTGAGGTGGAAAGCATGGTGGAGCTGGACCTCAGCTTCAACACAATTAGCAGCCTGCCCAATGAGATTGGCAAGCTCCGAAACCTGGAAAAGTTTGTCATTACCAACAACAGACTATCGAATTCTTTACCCGATTCCTTCCGTCAACTACCCAGCCTTCGAGAACTGGACATCAAGTACAATGCTATTACCAGTATCGACGTTATCGCCGCACTGCCCAAGCTTGAGATTCTTTCCGCGGATCACAACAATATTTCTCAGTTCATCGGCTCGTTCGAGAGGATCAGAAGCCTCAAACTCAACTCGAACCCCATTACTAAGTTTGAGATTATCGAACCGGTCTTGACTTTGAAGATGCTCAACCTTTCCCATTGTCAGCTGGCAAGCATCGACGAAACCTTCAACATGATGTTGAATCTGGAACGTCTCGTCTTGGACAAGAACTATTTTGTGTCCTTGCCTGCACACATTGGAAACCTCAGCCGACTGGAGCATTTCAGCATCGCCAACAACAACGTGGCTGAACTGCCAACCTCGATCGGATGTCTCACTGAACTCCGGATACTGGACGTAAGAAGAAACAACATTCGCAAGTTGCCAATGGAGCTTTGGTGGGCGAATAAGCTCGAGACGTTGAATGCGTCTTCCAACATCCTGGAGAACTTCCCCAAGCCTGCCTCGCGAGCACCTCGAGCCGCAGGCGAGGAAGCCCAAACCCCTGCTGCTATGAATAAACCCAATCCTATGAACAGTCTCCCTCAGCTACCTATTGAGGAGATTCCAGATTCTAGGAGGCCGAGCGGGAACTCCTCATCAACCTTGCTTAGCGTCGGACCTTCTCCAGTGCCCGGCGGTGCAGACAGGAAAAGTTCGGTCGTGTCAGTCTACGGCAAAGGCGGCAGAAAAACATCGGTGGTATCTAGATCGACGTCTCAAGGCACGGTTCAGACGATGACGCCGCCATCTGTGAGGAAAGACTCGACTTTGACATCAAGGCTCTACACAACTTTCGCCGGTTCTTTGCGAAACCTTTACCTGGCAGAGAACAAGCTTGATGACGAGGTTTTCGACCAGATCACCATGCTCAACGAATTGCGCGTGCTCAACTTGTCGTGGAATTATATTAACGATATGCCACAACGATCAATCAAGAGCTGGCCGCAAATGGTGGAGCTCTATCTGTCTGGTAACGAGTTGACAACCTTACCGGCCGACGACCTCGAGGATGCCAGTCTTCTGCAGGTATTGCACATCAACGGAAACAAGTTCACCAACCTGCCAGCCGACATTTCCAGAGCTAAGAAGCTGGCGGTGTTGGATTGTGGCAGCAATTCCTTGAAGTACAACATTTCCAACGTTCCCTACGATTGGAACTGGAACCTGAACCCCAATCTGAGGTACCTCAACTTGTCAGGGAACAAGCGCCTGGAGATCAAGGCGGCCAATCCTCCCTCCACCGCCTCCAACCGCGACGATTCACTCGCTGACTTCAGCCGCTTGCTCAATTTGAGAGTTCTGGGTCTCATGGATGTCACGCTCACACAACCCACGATTCCCGATCAAAGCGAAGACCGCCGTGTGCGAACGTCCGGATCTCTTGCTGGACACTTGCCGTACGGTATGGCCGACACCCTGGGCAAGAATGAGCATCTCTCGACGATTGATCTCGTCGTGCCTCGCTTCAATTCATCAGAGACTGAGACGCTACTGGGTCTCTTTGACGGCCAAGCCCTCTCCAGCGGCGGTTCCAAGATTGCCAAGTACCTTCACGAGAACTTTGGTCACATCTTCAGCATGGAGTTGAAGGGCCTCAAGACACGTCTTAACGAGACCCCTGTTGATGCTCTCAGACGTGCTTTCCTGTCACTGAACAAAGACCTTGTCACCGTTGCGATACAGCACAACGAGGAGCGCTCTCAGAAGGTGCATAGGGGCTCTGCGCAGCCGGTTGTGCTCAGTAAGGAGGATCTCAACTCTGGCGGCGTTGCGACCGTGGTGTACCTTCAGAACACAGAGCTCTTCGTAGCGAACGTCGGCGACGCCCAGGCCATGCTTATCCAGACGGACGGCTCCCATAAGATTCTCACCAAAAAACACGATCCCGCGGAACCTACCGAGCGTCAACGTATCCGCGAGGCTGGCGGTTGGGTCTCTCGTAATGGCAGACTAAACGACTTGCTGGAAGTCTCTCGAGCTTTTGGCTACGTTGAGCTCATGCCATCCGTTCAGGCCGCCCCCTACGTCAGCAGCATTACCATTCGAGAGCAAGACGACATCATCTTGATTGCCACCAGAGAGTTTTGGGAGTACTTGGACCCCGCGTTGGTCGTCGACTTTGCTAGGCAAGAACGCGGCGATCTTATGCGGGCATCGCAGAAGCTTCGTGATCTCGCAATCGCCTATGGCGCCACCAACAAGATCATGGTCATGATGATGAGCGTGTCTGACTTGAAGAGGAGAGTCGAACGATCCAGACTTCATCGCGGGCAGAGCATGTCTCTGTATCCCTCAGGTGTTCCCAACGATCTACAGCAGCTTCCGCGTCGTGGCAAGAGGAACAAGGGTGACGTGCTGGACTCAACATTGCAGCGACTCGAGGCCGAGATTCCAGCGCCTACTGGCAACGTGTCTATCGCATTTACCGATATCAAGAACTCTACCACATTGTGGGAGATGTACCCAGCTGCGATGAGATCCGCCATCAAGCTGCACAACGAGGTAATGCGCAGGCAATTGCGAAGAATCGGCGGTTACGAGGTCAAGACTGAAGGAGATGCCTTCATGGTGTCATTCCCGACGGCCACTTCGGCACTATTGTGGTGTTTTGCGGTCCAGATGTCGCTATTGGATGTCAACTGGCCTTCCGAGGTCCTCAACTCCGTCTCTTGTCAAGCACTCTATGACAAAGACAACGCCTTGATCTTCAAGGGTCTTTCCGTTCGCATGGGTATTCACTACGGTGAGGCCGTCAGCGAGATGGACCCCGTCACCAGGCGTATGGACTACTTCGGACCCATGGTGAACAAAGCGTCCCGTATCTCGTCGGTTGCTGATGGAGGCCAAATCACTGTTTCGTCCGACTTCATTTCAGAGATCCAACGTTGCCTAGAGAGCTACCAAGACACGGACAGGAATGCCTCGACAGGTTCTGAAGACACGTTTGATGATGACCAGGGCTTTGCTACTACGATACGCAAGGACTTACGGTCTCTCAGCTCCCAGGGTTTCGAGGTGAAGGAGATGGGAGAGAAGAAGTTGAAGGGTCTTGAAAACCCGGAAGTGGTGTACTCGCTCTACCCACACGCTCTTGCGGGACGCATCGATCACCACCAGCAACAAGAGACTCGCGTCGAGGTTGATAAGCCCGCTATCTTGCAGGCTGGTAGCGAGTTGGCGTTCGACACTGAGTCTATTTGGGCCCTGTGGCGCGTCAGCTTGAGACTGGAGATGCTGTGCAGCTCGCTGGAGAACGTGTCTGGCCGTGGCTTGCAACCCCCCGAGACGGAGCTTTTGGAGAGAATGAAGCACCGGGGAGGTGAGGTGACGGAGCGATTCCTGCTCAACTTCATGGAGCACCAAGTGAGCAGGATAGAGGTGAGTTCTGTTGCGAGAAGAATCTGTGTGATTTGTCGCTAATAATCCTTTCTAGACTTGCGTCACTTCACTGTCACTTCGTCACATTGCTATTGGCTGTGCCCCTCTGGAACAGCTAGAGGACATGCGGGCGCCTATTAGCGATATTCTCGATCAGGTCGCCAAGCAGATGGCCGAGCTAGCGAGATACAAGGCCCTCTACGGCGAATTGAGCGACTCAGACCACGGTAGCGACACGGAGCAAGAGTAAGCGCAGCGAGCCTTCGTGATTCATGATTCTCATGCGGCGGCATAACTTATATAATATACCTACGGCGTACGACGGATTCCGTCCACATCAACCTATCACCTGGATACCCGATTCTTTCAAAAGGGAGGCATACGGCGCTCTGATATACTTATTCCATATCTGTAAGATGCGATTACGACACTGAAACAGCCAGCGAGAAGCGGATTGGTGCCTGGTTTCTAGGCTTGGGGTTGCACACCTATTGGGTTTTACTGGTTCAGGAGGATTCAACTCGGAGATGACAATTTTGGTCTTCGGGAGCAATGCTGGATGAGAGAGAGAGAGAACACAGGGACTGGTGTGTCTGACGCTAGGCCCGCTCTGTTCGTCCTTGTGTGTGTTTTGCGTGCGTGGGCGCGTGGTAGGGGGTAGGGGGGCAGGCTGGGTTGCAACGAACACGGCGGTTTCGATTGAAAACGATAAAAAAGTGTGCACGTGTACGTGTGTTGTATTGGTTCGCATTGGAAGCAGACGGGAACAGGATACTTGTAGAGTTCCTCAGGGCATTGGATACGCGGGGTTTAAAGGCTGGTTACGAACAGCCGTGTGGTAGGATAGTGTTTACTCTTTTCCTTTTCCCCCTTTCACAAGAAGCCGAGCTTAGAGCATGGCATTCATCAAACGTTCATGTTCCACTTCTGGTGATTTCTTGTGATTGAGCTCGCTCCCTCTCTCTCTGAGGGAAGCGAAGCCCTTGGTCTAGTAAATGTAATACAAATGCGACGACGCTCGTGAAATCGACGTTTATTGGGACACAATCCTCGCCCCGGAGCCCGCGTCCTTGACTCTCTTCAAGATGCGGATTCTAGGCTCCATCCGCGGCCCAGCCCACCAGCCACCAGTCAACGACCTGACCTTGTCACGAATCCTCTTAACCCACAATCCTCTGCCGAGGACCTTCTCTCCTTCCTCAGTGTCCTGTTCCCCGGCCACGACGGCACCAGGCTTCAGGATCTCGATCCCAGCGTACCCTTGCACAACGCCGACGGTCTCCCACTGGCCCCCCTTGACGGACGCAGGGTCCTCGGCGAGCACGTAGTCGAACCGCGACCAGAACGCGGGGTCCGCGAGGACGGACTTGTCTTCCGTCTTGTCAAAGGTCATCACCGGCACCGCAGCGGCCGTCGTCGCGTCGCTGTTGAGGCTGTTCTCCAGAGCGCGCGAGTGGGGGTTCTTGGGCAGCCCGGCCGGGTTCTGTCCGAAGAGGGTGACGCCCGTCATGCAGCTCAGCACGTCGGTGTGGACGGCCGTCACGGAGGAGCTGGCGGGGCTCTTGCCCGGAGAGGGGCCGGAGCCGACGAGGGCGTGGAGCTGGCGGAGGGCGTCGCCGCCGGGGTAGTTGAGGGAGGAGATGAGCAGCATGCCCGTTGAGGCGGCGAACGCGGCGAGAATGCTGAGACAGAGGGCCGAGGAGGCGAGGGCGAAGACGAGAGATTTGGTGCGACGGGCGAAGATGTAGTTTGCGCCGAGGGCGGCCGCCGCCGTCAGGGGCGGGACGGCATAGAAGATGAAGCGGGCTTCCTTGTGAGGCTGGATGGAGTAGATCGCAACGAAGAGGAGAGAGGGGATGACAAGGCCGCGGGCTACGTTGGATGTCCCTGGCTGGGTCAGAGCTACGGGGATGAGGAGCATGAAGGTCAGGGGGTTGACGAGCAGGCGAGGGAGAGCGGATGTGAAGTAGAAGTGCCAAGGCGAGACACCCCAGTTGGAGGAGGAGCCGAGGACGGCATTGTAGTAGAAGCCCCAGAGCTCCGGCCAGAGGGGCTTCTGCCAGAAGTACGAGTCCAGGGGCACCGAGACGACGAGGGCGACGGTAAAGCTCACTGCGAAGGGACGGATCAGACGCGGGATCGTGGTTTGCGATGTCAGCAGGAGGTAGAGGCCCGTAGTGGCAAGCAAAAGGGCGACTTCGGAGCGGAAGATTGCGGCGGCGAAGACGAGGAGGGAGACAGCAACACGCTGGCGCGGGGATGAGATCCGGGGATTAGGATGGGGGAGTAGGTTTGCAGAGGCGAGAGTTGCTTTTCGTGATGTTAGTTTTACTACAGCAACGATAACGAACGTCGGGGTACTCACTCAACGCGAAGGCAAACATGTTGGGCAACGTTCTTGACGCGTAGAAAATGACGTGAAACTGGCTAGCAAGCAACAAAACCCACCACCGCTGCACATCTACGCCCAGCCCCTTGCCCAGGCTGCGAGCGAAGAGGATGAGCGCAGCAGCATTCGCGAGACCCAGCAGCAAGCGGACGACGAGCTGGGCGTGCGCAAAGCCGAATAGGGACACGATGGGACCGCCGATGCCTGCGAGGAGGACGGGGCCTACGAAGGTGCGAGGAACGGCGCCGGGAAAGTCAAAGTGGTCGTAGGAGGCGCGGAAGCGGGAAGCGATGTCGCTAGTTGGTGTGCCGTAGACGAGAACATCGTGGGTCGCTTGGATGTTGAACGATTCCTCTACTTTTGTGTCTGGGGAGAGGAGTAGGTGGATGGTGATTAGAGAAGGGATGAGTCCCAGAAGGACAATGTCTAGTGCCGTGTCAGTCTTGGTTGTTTCCAAAGTTTGGACTGGAGGGAGGATGCGTGAAGGAGCTGTAGATACCTGGGAGCTTCATTGTGAGCGCGTCAAGGGGTGCGTGTACTTTTAGGGCGGGAGGTACTGAGAAGGGAAGGAATGAGAAGAGAAGGATTGTGAAATGTGGTTTATTTCATATCTGTACTGAGGAAAGGAGGATCGTCAGGAGATGCAAAAAGTCCAAGTTGTGAAACGATTTGCCCTGTGCTCCTTTTCATCTCAATGCCTTCCAAGTTTCCTGATGATAATTCTCGCGAACTTGGAGCTCTCATTCAGGCGGGACAGGTCAGGTTCTCAGAGTGAAAGTGTAAGCTGTCGTCTTGCACCTACCCACCACAGCTCTGAGTGTCCGTGCACGGCCCAAAGACATTCATGCAATGCAAGCAATTGGAGCCAGCGAGCGATGGGCACACACAGCAGCTGTGGACAGCTTTCCTCCCCCCAAGGCGGTACCTGAATTAGGTACCTTACTGGCAGCAGGCAGGGATCGTCGGAACGGATCAAGTCCACCTCCATCACGCACTGGACCCAAGGTAAGCTCCAGGTCTGGACAGCGAAGCGCAGCGCGCAACCACCATCACCACCTGGCCCCAACTTCCCAAGCTTCGTCTTGCTGGAAACTACCCCCTTACCCCACGATCGCAACGAAACCAATCCCCCCCCCCAAAAAAAGCCTTCTTTTCCACAACAAGTTGGCTTGCGCCTGCAATCGCCGTCAAGATGTACATCCTAGGAAACTTTCTCTACAGTATGCGCACACATCCGTTCCCATCTCAGAGAGCTTGCGCTAACCACAATAATCCCCTCCAGTCGCTGTCCTCCTCATCAACGCCATCGCCGTCCTCTCCGAAGACCGCTTCCTCGCGCGCAGTACGGCCGTCCTCAATTCCCCCCTCCGTCTACCCTCATTGGAGTACAAGCGGATGCGCAAGACGAACGGTTCAGCTAATGACCTCCCGAAACAGTCAACCTGTCCCCGTCCTCCTACGACCCAGCTTTCGGTCAGAGCACCGATGCGAGTGTTAAGGCCAAGATCATCAACCTGATTGCCAGCGTGCGGACGCTTATGAGAAGTACGCATAACATACCCGCCAGGCTAATTGGAAGCTCCGGGAGGCGAGATGCTGACGTCCCCCGCTTTACAGTACCGTTAATAGCGATCAACACCCTCATCATTTTCTACGAGCTCATTCTGGGATAGACGGATGAAGACCCGGCGGATCTGCTTATTCTTTGTGTATATCAAACGGCTTGGACCTTTCACAGCATGGCATCATCGTAACGAACTGGCGTTGGGGGTTGGCAGCGGGTTGTTTTGGTCATCGAAGGGGCATCACTGCCCAGGAAATTAAAAACAACACGGCGCGGCAATACAGTGTCATGATATTGAGAAGGGCAAATGCTTTGCAACCTTTATTCCTCGGAGACTGCCTCTTCAGAGAATTGCAGCTCTGGGTCTTAAATCTTTGATACCGTCTTGCGCTATCATACAGTTCGGCGTGGTTTCGTCAAAAGCAACGCTCATGACTCCATCAACTGTGGCCTTGAACCTAGTCGCCCTCATTATGTGAAAAAGAATATTATCCAAGCTAACCGCACCATGCTCGGGTATCTGCTCGCGCCCAGAGATTCCTCCGTTGGAGCCGTTCGTGGGGCTGGTCGCAACCTACACCAGGGCAGGAAGCGATGTACTGTGTCCATCGTGCACAACAGCTCCCTACCGACTCCTTTTTTGTGATATGTACTAATGAGAAACTGAAACCTTCAGGTGAGTCGTCAAACGAAATTTAATGCGCCGCCTCATGACAGCAGGTTTCCGCTCTTCTTCCTGCCTAGATTGAAACTGAACCGCTCTCTCAACTCCTTGGGCTTGTCTGCGTGGTTTGCTGCGCCATCGGTGCCATTATGACCGTTCTCTGTCGGTCTCGGTGATTCAGGCTTATCCTTGTCCTTGCTGAGAAACCCGAAGCTCTTTCGAGTCATCGACTTGCTTGCCCGGCTAGACCTGTTGAGGAAGCTCGTCGTGCCAGAGGGTTCCTTCTTCTTCGGTTCTTGTTCTTCCGCAGTTTTCTTGCTTAATTCCAGAACCTGGCGCAGCTCGTCCTGTTCCTTTTGATAAGCTTCTCTCCGCCGGGCGTGACTCTCCCTTCGTTGCCTCTCTTCCTCTTTCGCCTTGTCCTTTTCAGCCTGCTTCCGCGCCTTCTCGGCAGCCTCTTGCTCCTTCTTCTCCCGCTTCTTTTCATCCTTTGATTTTTCGTTCTTGGCTGCCGTGTTAGATCTGGTGATGCCAACAGGTATCGCAGGAGCAGCGGGTGTGGGCGGTACTGGCGGAACCTCTGGTGCATCCACTTTACCGGGCGCAGTCTGAGCGTGGGAAAGCCCGGGCATC